GTGAAGGAGGTGAAGATCGACTGTTGGAAGAAATGAAAGGGGAAAAAAAAAAAAGGAGAATTGATGAAAGGATGAAGATGACTATGATGATGCTTCTGGAGGAGGAGTTAGGCAACTTGAACGTTTCCTCCATTCCTTTAATTCATTTTATTTTAGTTCAGTTGGAAGCTAAAAGAAACATGGCGAAAATGGGGCTGTTTTGGTTCGTGGAAAATGGGTTTGGCAGAAGGATGTTCTTTTTAAGAGAATGGATCGGTGAGTGAAAGATTTAATTAAAAGAAAATGGGGTCAAATCGGTTCAGCAAACAAAGTTGAAAATATAGCCATTTTGAAGGTTTTTTTTTTTTTTTTTTTCTAATGGAAGTGCGTAGGTTCTGGAGATATTTTAAGTAGGAATTAATTTTTAAATGAGTTGAACTCTATCCCTTCATTTTGAGTCGGTTAACAAAGAGGTTAGGAAATGGATTTTCTGTTTTTTTTTTAAAAAAATATGTTTCGGGTAGTATTTGTGTTTGTTAAACTGATGGATTTGATTTAATTCCCACAAGGTAGTATTTGTGTTCTTTTCACAAATTGATTTCCTTCTTTGGCTACAAATTTACTGCTGTCAATTTGAATTCCTCACATCTTAATATTGGAGTAGGGAAAGAAATAATAATTCATTAATTTGGGTTCTCTTTCTTCTTCATGGAATACTAGGGGGGGAAAGAAAGATGGAGGCAACTGGTGGAATGGTTGAGGAATCATTTGGTTCGGATTCGCCATGATTCTAAGGTGTATAAATTACTGGGTTCTTTTTTTATTTCTTGAAATTCAATTTCTTTTGATTGGATTTGAATAAGGACATTGATGTGTGAATTTCATAGCTTAGAGATTGAATTTTGGTAACGCAATTTGAGTTGTTTGGTAATAAGGAGATTTGACTTGCCTGATTTTTTCTTCCATCTCAGCCAAGATCATCACCAATTTGCAGAATTTTCCTACCATGTTGATTCCCCATGGTAGCAGTATCCATAACAAGAAACAATAATAGATATTGCAGGGAGAATTTCGTGATCAATTGGCTATGCTTCTGCATCAAATGACGCTTTGCTAGTGGAAAGGATCATTGAAATATTGTATGAGGATGAACTAGTAGGCGGTGGTGGTGGTGCCGACGGTGAGGTGTGAGGAAGAGGAAGACGAAAGCCGTCGGAGGTGGTTTGGGCTTTGGAGGAAAAACTCAAAATAAATAAATAAATAAAATATTAGTGGGTCCATTATTGATGAAATATTAATAAAATATTAAATAATTGACGGATTTTCTAATTCACCGTTATAGTTAATGAATTTCCCGTCAAATATACATAGCTGTTGAATAAACTTAAACTTGAGAACTAAAATCGTTGAAGAAAATTTTATGGTGATCGACCTGAGTTACCCCCAAACTTTGGGGACCAATACTTTGTTTTGCCCAACTTTTTAAGTACATACAGCTAAATCAATCTTAAAGGGAATTGACAAAAGCAAGTAATAAAAGCTGATTATTTCTTTCAAAAATAGTTCTATACCTTATGATACATTAAAAGGCAAAACAATCAATAAATATTAATATAATTAATTTCCATCATCTTGAGTGATTTCGATTATTTTCATTCCTTCAAAAATTTAATTAATTCATTCTTGGGACTTCAAGCAGCAGATAAGCCACAATATTGAACAGATTCATGCCACAATAAGCAGCAAATTTGGATATCTTTCACTGTGGATTATAATTCTGGGAGTTGTTGGTTAACAGAGTAGAAATTTGTTATATTCTGGACTGGAGTCATTGTATCCGCTCTCCAATCATCTGCTGTGAATCTAGGAAAACGAAAAGTTTGATTCTGTGAAAGTTGTAGCGAAAGAGACGGACAAGTAGAGGTTTGAATCAATTGGACCATTCAATGGTAATATGGAAAGAAAATAATACTGTAATTTTTTGCTGTGGATCCTAATTTATGTCCTGGCAGAATCAATGGACAAAATTTATATAGATGTTTGGGAAACGTTTAGGATTATAGTATAAAAGATCCTTAAACTATTGAAAGATTCAAATTGTTGAATCAGGATAATATTAAATTGCTTTTCATTTTCTAATAGAACATTATGAATGGAACATTACGCTTTTTGGATTAAAGGACCAGCTGAAGATGAAATACAGATTTGTATATACTCGTGTAGTTGGGACAATTGGTTACTTTGACTCAAAATATCTTAGTATAAGCGATTTCATTTTTGTCCCATTCGATTTCTTATGTTCTTCAGAGAATTTTTTTTGAAAGTAATTTTTTTTCCTTTTTCTGGTCATGACAATATAATCTAGTGAAGCAGCCTTTATTCTCTCCACTATTTGGAGTTGGTTGTGTGTGTATATGGTTCATAACTCCACATTCACCAAGATTGTACAATTTTTGGACTTGTTTCGTGTTTCTTGTAGGTCGTTTCAAGCCTAAAAGTTATTTTTACAGCTATGGCGTAGTCCCTAGTCTATTGGGCAATGACCTTGACCCAGCACAAGAAGAAACTGGTTAGCATTGTAGATCCAAGATTAGAAGCAGTGGCGAAGAGAATTAAATAATATTTCAACGGTATTTGATAATTATTATTTCTTTTCAATCATTAAGAACATGTTTTATACAAATCATGCAGCACAATAAAGTTTTTGCAAGTTTTTCACTCTGGTTAAGTAGTTATAATTTTAAAAAATCAATTTTTAATTAACAAATATTTTTTTTTAATAAAAAGAAGTAGATTTGTAGTGCATTTTTAACCCCGATAAGTCATAATGGGCCAAATTTAATAATGAAGACTAAACTTCCCCGCAGCCCAAGCCCATATCCTCTCCTGCTTTCAACGTCATTCTGCTTCTGCTCTCCCCATTCTCTACCCTCCTCCGCCGTCGGAAATTTTTATTTTATTCAACTCTAAATTTCACGTTCTCATTATTTGGAAAATTAGGCTGAAATCATTATATGTGAGGTAGAGCATCTTAAATAATGCTAACGAATAGAAATCATAGCACATGGTTGTATATAGATCACCTAATCGAAAAAATTCCAGCATCAAAACCCTCTAGTTCGGCATCATAGCACATGGTTGTATATAGATCACCTAGCGTGTTGTTCCAGGAATTAAATATGATTGTGTTTGTAGGATATTTAAAATGCTGAAAGCAAAATGACAAATGTTACTGAAAGATTTTAGTAGCTATTTGTTACTTTCCTCATTGTTAATCGATTTTGGGATGCAAACACAAAGAGATTTATACGGACACCCAAGAGAATTTATACTAATTTAATATTAATTTCTGTAGCTTTATATACAAAATATTCTGTAACTTCAAATTCAATTGATCAGTTAATTTATCGATAAAGTTACATGATGTTTTACTTATATATATATTTATGTATCAAATGAAAATTGTTATAAAATAAAGAGTTAGTTTTTCTTCATAGGTATAATTTTGGAAGCTTCAATATTCATTCCTATACATAAAGTAAATTAGAGTAAACTCACGAATGGTCGTATTCTGACAGCTGATCAAGAGTTGAGTAGTATACAATAAAAAAGAAAATGAGCACTAAGAGAATTAAACATATATGTAAGAAAGATGCGTGGACTGCCATGAGTTAATTTATTGAAGCTTGTGTTCTTAGGAACGAGCACTTCAATCGCTATTGCATTAAAAAAGAAAAAAAAAATTGTCTTGAATTATATCCATCCATTCACAGGGACCATTGAATAACGTTCAAGAATCTACCGTCTAGTTTTCTTTATAATTTTTTTTTTTTTAGTTCATTTGTTGGATGTAGAAGTAAGACCAATTAAGTTTTGGAACAGAAATATGCTTTCATAGGAACGTTACAAAGCATGATGATATTTTCTATTTCGTCATTATTTGGAGTAGAAACAAAGTGTATTCTTAAATTCTCATTTCGAATCTTTAGTCCACAAAAAATATCAATCCTTTGGTAAAATTTATTAGTTTGAAATGTTGTTCTAAATAGTTACCAGTAAATTAAAACAATGTTTACGAAAATGCGTATTCCAAGAAATTCAATCATATGATCTTAAAAAGATTAATATTTTTCCTCCACGCAAGGTTCTTTATTTCTCAATCCAACACATCTAATATCACCTATTACTTTTAGAGAAGGCACCCCATGCATCTGGCATCTCCCAAATTCTCTGTAATTATATAACCTATGAATTAGTATGTTGTGCTTCCTCGTGCTAGACCCGGGTTCAATTCCTATTAAAGGATTTGTAAGAGTGGTTTTACCCACATTTAAGTGGGGTGCACTGAGGTGGAATTTTTTTTAAAAAAAAACGTATGTATTAGTATTGCTTAAGTTTTTTTATTTTGTTTTGTTTTTTTTTAAGTAGTGAAAACTACTTTATTTTCCAAACATATGGAAATTGACTTTGATTCAATACAACTAGACCTTTTATACGATTAGGCAAGTCATCATGAGAATACTGTGTCGTGGTTCGGAACGAACTTGCAAGTTTAGCGAGATCATTTGCTACTGTGTTCGTTTCTCTATACACATGCCGAATGGTGACTTGCATATTTTGTGCCAAAAGCCATATTTTTTTGAGAGAATGCTTTGATCGCCATGGCCAACTTGTTGGATTCGCTAGAATGTTGACTAGAGTTTTCGAATCCGTTTATGCTTCAATTTGAGTAAATCTAAGGCTTTGGCAAAGTTGCATACCTCTCAGGAGAGCTTCAACTTCAGCTTGAAAATTAGAGGCAGTGCCAATGAATTTTGCTTCAGTTAGAATAACTTTTCCTTGCATATCTTACTGCACAGCCTGCATCACCTGGATTGCCAATTGAGGACCCATCAACGTTGATCTTTATTCCATTAGTTGGAAGGGTCCAAGTCAAAAATAATGGGGTACTCTTTCTTGCTTCTTTTGCAAAAGGAATGAGTCTTGCAGTTACAAAGCTTGAATCCTTAGCTGAGGATGCTTTAAAAGGCACCGCTTTTTGCCATAATGTGTAGATCTTGGACAATAAGCTTCACTGCAATGTGTGGAGAGATTATTGTTGACTCAAAAATAGCTTTATCCCTACATTTCCACAGCTGCCAACAAATGAGAGATGGGAGGAGAATCTGTAGCTTCCAAGTCAGCTTTGAAGATTGTCTTCTTGTCCACCATATAGATGAAAGATCATCAAAATCCAAAATTTCATTGTTTGCAAAGCCCATAATCGCTCCAAAATGTCTCCAAATGTGTTTAGCATAAGAACATTCAAAGAAGTTATGCCGAATGCTTTCAACATGATTCCTGCATAAAGAACACACAGAGGGAATATTCAGTCCTGTTTTCATTAAAACATCAGCAAAAGGAAGTAACTTGTTGTGCAATCGCCACATGAAGATCGAAATCTTCAGCTGAAGCCTTTTGTCCCATATATAAGTGCATTGTTGGGATGATTCTTGTCTTCTCCGCAGGTGATTGAATGCTGATTTGAGAGAGAATTTTCCAAGAGTATCATGCTGCCAAATCCAGTCATCAGCTTCATTTGATAGTGTAACATCTTTACTCTCTATTTCATTGATGTCATCCTGGAGTAGAATTCCTTGTAGTGAGTCCAGATTCCAAGCTTCATTATCAATCAAGTCTCTAACCTTCTTCATCATATTTAACAGAAAGGTAACCTGTGCCAAGCCAGTCATCCTTCCAAAAATTTGCATCACCATTTTTTATCTCAACAAAGGTGTTGTTTCTCATGTATTTTTCCCATGGCTTCAACCTGGAGTGAAAAACCGAGGAATCAACTCCTTTCTTCCTCTTGTTAATAAAGGATGCCCAAATACCCGTTTTTGACAAGAGCTTCCACCACATTTTGCATGAAAAAAGCATCAAGTACATCACTAAGAGACCTAGTGCCAAGTCCATTTTCTTTCGTAGGATGTGCCATCTTTTCCCAGCTACGCCAAATTCTTCGTTGTTGTCCATCAGCCACGCCCCAAAAAATTTTTGATAATTGACCCTCTATTCGTTTAAGGATGGCTTTGGGCGGATTGGAAGCTGAAAAAACATATGGCATATATGAAGATAACACATGTTTAATTAGAATTAACTTACCTCCAGGGGACAAAACTCTGCTTTTCCAACCAGATATCTTAGCATCAATTTTGGACAAGAGACCATTAAAGTATTCCTTTTTGCATCTTCCCTTAAATAGAGTACCCCCAAGATACTTGAGATGGAAACTACCATAGGAGATTCCAGTAATGGCAGAGACAGCAGCAATGTTTCTTGAGAAGCTTTCTTGGAAATTATGAAGGTGCTGTTGGATTTGTTAATTTTCTGTCATGTGCTTTCTTCATATAGTTTGAGGAAGTCCATAAGACTTTTCAATGAATTACGATCAGCTTTCACGAATATCACCAAATCATCGGCAAAACTTAAAAGACTGATGGACAGAGATGATCTCAAAGAGTGATATGGTTGAATAAATCCTGCATCAATGATAGCATGAAGACTTCTAGGGAAGGCCTCAGTGAGTAAGATAAACAAGTAGGGGCACAGAGGATTCCCTTGCTTGAGGCCCGAGATGGTTTAAAGAATTGAAATGGCTTACCATTGATGAGAACAGAATTCCAACAACTTGTAAGATTATTCTTGATTAAATCAATGAATCTATCATGAAAACCAAGTTTTGCAAGAAGTAGACTTATAAAATGCCATGACACTCTATATCGAATGCTTTCATCATATCAAATTTGAAAAATATATTATCACCTCTAGTTGTTTTGTCAATGGACTGTCCTAGTTCTTGAGCCAGTAAAAGATTGTTAGAGATATCTCTATTTGGTAAAAATGCGGATTGTTCTTCAGAAATTAAAGTTTTCAAAAGAGGCTTCACCCTATCAGCAATGATTTTGGTAAAGATTTTATTTACAAAAGTACATAAACTAATAGGTCTTTTAATCTGAGAAAGTAGAAGGGCTAGTAACCTTAGGGATCAAAGCTACAAGTGTACTAGAAAAATACCTGGGTATTGGAAATCCCACAAAAAGTTCTTGAACATCTTTGAATACATCACTTCCCACGACTTCCCTACAATGCTGAAAAAATACTCCAGAGAATCCATCATTTCCGGCTGCACTTTCTCCGCTTAAGTCAAAAACAGCTTTATGAACCTCTTCGAAAGTGACAGGTCGAAGTAAAGTCATATTTTGGTCTGGGATCACTAGTTCAAGAACGGTGGACAAGAGTAATTTCATTGATTCCTCATTTGTGTCCCCTTAATCGGAGAGCAGCTCTTGGAAGAAAATAGAAGCATGAGAAGCAATGTCCTCTGGAGAAGATACCAAGTTACCAAGAGGGGTTTTGATTTTACTGATTCTCATTCGTGTTCTTCTCTCCATAACAGTCGAATGAAAGAACTTGGTATTAGCATCGCCTTCTTTAATCTATTTTATTCTGGCTTTCTGTCTCCAAAAGCACTCTTCCTCAGCTAACCGTAAAGAGTGGTGATCTTGAGCAGCATTTAGTAATGAGAGGTTCTCATCAGTTGGATGATGATCATAATGTTGTTCACAGTTAGCGAGATTGATTCCAGCTTCCCTAGCATTCTTGTGGACATTGCCAAAGACATTTTTATTCCAAGAAGATGACTGATTCTTAGTCTCTTTAGTTTCTGCCAAAGAGCAAATATCCCATATCCTTGGATAGGTTTCGACTAACAATTCTGGACAATGGTCAGGAAGTCTTCCCTTTTGGTCCACATATTCCGGAATCTAAAAGCTTTAGGGCCATTTGACGTGAGCTCAGAAACTTCATAAAGAAGTGGATTGTGGACAGATGGGCTTCTTGCTAATTTTTGAAGAGTTGATTGTTGAAAAGTGTGAAGCCAAGATGGATTGCAATCTATCAAGCCTTTTCCAGATTCTTCCACTTTCTCGGATTCCCGTCCATGTAAATTTACCACCAACCAATGGTACATCCGTGAGAGCACAATCTGTTATACATTCATTAAACTCGTCGATAGCTGTCAAGTCTTGTTGAGCCTTTCCACTATATTCTTCTAGCTTTCTGATTACATTATAATCTCCACAAACCAGCCAAGGTTTGTCATCGAGTTGCTCAGAGATGGTCTTCATCTCATTCCACAAGTTTCATCATTCGTTCAATCTTGTTACATTTAGCATATACCAAGGAAATAACCGACTCAAAGGAACCTAAATATGTTAGTCTTAAACTTAACATTTGACATTTCCACCATAAGGCCTGTTTGACTCATCTCGGCTAGAGCATTTGGATGAAAAAGTTGTAGCGTGGATGTATTCTGTTCTTGCCCAGCTAGCCAACAACGGTGGAAATCCTCATGGAGGTCAAATTGGATTAGTATATGCATTGAATCCATCAATCCTAAGATGTAATTCCCTTTGAATGCAATTGTTCAAAATTCTTTTCTGAGGAAATTCATCGATGGCCGTTTGCCGAGAAGCGGCCGACCAATGCCAATTCACAGGTTGAAGATAATTTAGCGATTTCCTTTGCGTTGTAGAATAGCCGGTTCCCCTTTGAAGATAGATCCGGTTCGAAATTCATTGAAAATAGTACTAGTAGCAGTATGTTCTTCGGATTGACATACTAGAGCTTGTCAATATGAGATGGAGGAAGGTGCAGGCCTACCCTCCGCCGCCATGGTGGCGGCCATGGGAGGCCACCAACGGTAAAAAAAGGTTAACGACTAGCTGAGGGTGACGTTTCATTATGTTCCCTTATTATATCATATTCTCTCTGTAGAATAGAGTTAGTATTGCTTAAGTTCTACATAACACAGAATACCCTCTCGAAAATATTCATGCCGATTTATATAGATAAAACTATACATATCATGATAGTTTCTAGTTTATTCTAATTTAAAAAAATTAAAATATCAAAATTAGATTACTTAATCATGCAAAGTAAAAAAAAATTAATATGAAAAATTGAATAAAGTTTCATGACCATTTATTAATATTATAATCAATTTAGGTTATACCAATTTAATAAGTCCAATTTTTTTACATTTAAAAAATTGACTATTTTTCTAAAAAAGATGTAGTATGATTTATTCTGGAACCTATTCTGTCAGGGGCGTGTCTAACCGTACAAAGACCAAAGAAAGTTGTTGCCATGATGGTCATTCGCCATTGTGGGTGTGTGGGAGTTAATGACTCCGTCCTCCGGTAGAACATCACAAGTTTGCGAATTCTATTGCTTCAGTTCTATCACACACATCTAAAGAAAATCATTATAATTATCAGGCTGAGCTTCAGATATGGAGTGTGCAATAAAAAATAGGAACTTATACTAACACTTTAGTTCACGGCACGAAGCTAACACACAAAAAGGAAAGGGATCGACATTGTATTCATGCAAATTAAGTTCATAAATCAAAAACATTAAGAACCTCAGATTATAAAGAAGAACAACCAAAACGAAAGCAAAAAAGAGTTCTATATGAACTCCCGTTGCAAGAATTTGTTCATGATGCCATAATTAGGATACAGGTAAATTAAACTAAGAGCCTAAGAAACCATTCATAAGTCATCAAAGCTATCCAAAACCATTCATAAATTAAACTACATTTTTCTGTCTCTCTCGTGTCTCTTAAATTGCGTCGATTCCCAAGAATCAAGTTACTACCGCATCAACTGCAATATATAGCTTCTTTGATGGAATTATGCATCGTTGAGTGGAAAGTATTAAGGATTCCTCGGGGAAGGACAATGCATGAGATTAGCACTACAAATTAAATGAACAACATGTACATTTACAAGCAACTCCTGGTGAATAGGATTCCATCAATGTTGTGTTGATATAGACGTGACAGTTAGAGCATCGAAAGCTTTGTAGTATTTGGGAAGACTGAAAATTTTCCTAGTTTATCTTCTTGTGAGGAAGGTTTAGCTGTAGCAACTACCTTATAATCAACACTTTTGGGAAGCTATTGCAGCAGAATCAGTGTTTCAAGCGTCAGTCGTCACCGGAGAACCCTGAAAATTAATAGATAAAACTGATAAGGTTATAGCGATTCTGCAAAAATAACAAACTCATTGAAACGTAGGTCAGGAAATCAAAAGTCTAACAGGATTTTTGCGAGTTAATGTGCCCCCTTTTGTAATAATTCATCTGTCCCAAAATGGTTATCCTATTTTGATTTTCATTTTTTTATATAATTTGAATTAAAAATGAAAATTTAAACTGGATAATCAATTCTGAACCGAAAGAGTATATAAATTAACATTCTCAAATGATTATAAACTCTTTCTCATCCAAAACTATATAGAGTCTTATTTGCTAAATTACCTGTACACAAGCATGCAGAACTAATCTCTCGGAGATAGATGTAGTACTACTTGTAATATGACTGTATAGAACAAGTACATGATACGATATCCTACGTATTAATTGTTAACCACAAGTTAAAAAACTCGTGTTTTTAAAGCAGCCATGAGCATCAATAGTAATAACAATTTATATTTGGAGAAATTTTCTTCTTCATGAAAAGAGACTTACCCGACTCAATTGAAGATTCTTTTTGGTGTATTTGCTTTGAATTACCTCATAGTTCCTAAACCAAAAGAAAAAGAAAGATATGTCAAGCTTTTAAGTTCCAAATTAACTTCCGAAATTTTGAACCTGCCTTCCATAATAAGAATTAATTGTTTAAGATAATTTCACTGATACAATCAATCAGTATTAAACAACCCGTATAAAAAGATTTCAACTTAAAACATTAAAACTACTACTTTTCATTGACATTCCAACCAGAAAAAGCACATCAAAACATGAAAGGGAATAAAAAAAGAAAGAAAAGAAAACAGAAAAAGAAAACAGCTCGAACAAGAATAAGTAGCAGCGAACATATTCGCCTACCCTATTAAGAGTATCAAATCGACACCGGAAAAAAATTGCATTGATTACTCTATGATCTATGATAAACAATAATGATGTAAAAACAGGAAAAGGAAAAAAATCACCTTGAATTAACAACAATATCAATACTGCCTCCTACAATCATATGTTTAGCTACTGTCACCATACAATTGTTATTTTATTTTTATTTTTTTTTTGGAAAATGGAAACTAATTGAGGAAGACAAGAAGAAAAGAAAAAAGAAGGTTAGTTTAGCAAACAATAATTTCATTGAGAAAGAAACACCGTTCTTCAGTTGAATAAAAAAAAAATTGTATATATCTATTGCAAAGTAAAAAAATGAAACATCACAGAAATATTTAGTGTGGGGCTTACTCTTTTGTTAGTTGTTGGACGTCCAGATATATCCGTAGATCTTCATTTCCACAATCCATCTGCGTTTCATGAATTTCCTTTACCGAATCAAAGACACGTGGACAACTCCAGACCTCAATCATCTGAAGGGTTGAACTTTGGGCTATACAAGAAGGGATTTCCTTTAAGCGATTGCAGAATTTCAGTATCAATGTCTCAATAGATGGGAAGTCGTCATCCGAAGCCGTTGTCCATCTCTCCAAACTGGTCATGCTCCATAATTTCAACACTCTGAGTTTGGGGAATGTGCCTTCTTCTTCAATGTCCCAATTTTCCCCCTTGTATGCATTCTCAGTCAATAGGAGAGCTTCAAGATTTGGTAGCCTTCCAATAGCTGAAACTTCACTCCATGGAAGGCAAGTTGAATACAGAGATAGATCCTTTAGATTCTGGGGAAATCGAAATTGAAAAAAGTTCGTCCCACGAGTAGTGATGTCGAGTGATTCGAGTTGAGTCAAAGTGATGAAATCCACAGTGCACTCTCCTCCACCCAGATCGAGACGACAGCGTAGTGTCCGGAGATTTGGTAACTTCTTCACTACTCCCACCATCGTTTGGCTGCAGGTGAATGATACAGTCGAGAAAGTCTGCAAATTCTCCAAATTGGCTACGGGAATCTCTGATGGCAATACAAACTCCCGAGCTCCATCCAGATGCCTTAATTTTTTCATACCCCACAAAGTATCCGGCAACAAAACTCTCCTACCATCAGTAACAATCAAAGTCTCCAAATCTGAGAGATTGAGAATTGACGATGGGATGATTATTTCTGAAGTAAAAGAAACTGCGAAATCCAAGTATTTCAACTGGACAAGTAGTAGAATCACACATGGAAATGTATCAAACACAAATACTCGGCTTAAGACCAAAACTCTTATAAGCTTGAACTGGAAAAACTTGTATAGAGATGTTGGTAGTCGATAGACTTTGGGTTTTGTAACAAACAACATTGTGCGTAGACGAGGATAGAGGGACCTCGATTCTGAGAATTTCTCCGCTCCACTGAAATCAATACTTAACCTGTACCGCTGGCTAGCCTCAAGACAACCATTAAGCTCCTGACCACGTAGCCGATGCATAAAGCGTTCTTCTTTGCTTCTCGCTATGGCGAAATCGCGTAGCAAGTCATGAAGGACACACCGTTGCATCTGGCCTCGGTGATCTCTTCCTGCAACCATCACTAGATTTCTCTGTACCAACTCCATCATGTAACCCTCTGCAACATCCTCTAAGCACTCTCTTCCTGCAGTTTCCTGCACGAATCCTTCTGCAATCCATAGCCGTAAAATCTGGCGAACATATATTGATTCGTCCTCTTCAAACGCTCCCAGATAAAGAAAGCATGGTTTCAAATGGTTTGGCAAATGTCGATAACTCAACTCAAGAGTCTCCATGCACTGATCTGCAGCCATTGCACTACCTGTTTTTAGCATTTCTTCAACTTCTTCCCACTTACTTGGCTCTGTATTAGCGAGAAATCCTGCAACAATTAAAATCATCAGCGGCAATCCCTTGCAGGATTTTGCTATTGTCTTGGCACGAGCAATTACTTCTTCCGATGGACAACTTTGGTCAAAGCACATCTTCTTCCGAAATAATTCCCAACTCTCATCATCATTTAGTGCACGAAGACGGTGAGGTTCAGAGTGTGGATTGATTTCCAAACCAATAGTCTCCTGTCGACTGGTTAGGAGAATTCTGTTACCCTTCTCATCGTCTGGGAATGACATTTTCAAACTATTCCATACTTGAGTATCCCAAATATCATCCAAGATGATAAGATACCTGATTCCCTTCAACCGTCTACGGAGTCTTTCAGCCAAATCATCTTCCCTCATATTTATATACGCTCCAGTTGAATTTTGGTCCAGACCGCTTAAAATCCCAATCAACAAACTTTTTGTGTTGTATTCTTGAGACACGGTGACCCAAGAGCGAACCTGGAAGTGATGAGAGATGCGGGAATGATGATAAACTTTCTTGGCGAAACTAGTTTTACCTAATCCGGCCATGCCCACAATCGAAACCACATCTAACTGTTTTGTCCCTCTAGTGAGTCTATCGATGATGATCTTTGCCTCGTCATCCAAGCCCACCACTCTCTCATTGGAATCTGGGATCTTACCAACTGCTGGTGCCATCTTAAGGTTAGCTTGACTAATCTTTTGAACTGCAATGGTTGGCTCCATACTCCAAGGAATCTCCGAGACCTGAGTCTTAATAAGCTCAATCTCTGTTATGATAACATCAAGCTGCACGATAAGGCTCGTCCGGAGTGGTTTACCAGCAACAACCAAAGAATCAAGTACAAACTCCGTGTCATAAGCTACCGTTGCAATGCGACTCGAGAGATTTTGGATCGTCATCCCATTATCAAGGACTACAAAAGATCTTAAAACTGTAAGATCATCGTGGAGGGCTTGGAACTTATCCTTTTCTGAAGAAACTTGAATCACGAATGACTTTATTTTTTCCAAGACAGAGTCAATAAAACCCAACAAGTTTGTTTGGGGATATGCTGATGCTGGTGGAAACCTTGGCGCATCTTCTTCTGCAGCCTTGAGAATTTGGGGTTTTGTCTCGAAATTGGAAAAAAGGAGCTCTAATTTTGCAATCAACCTTCCTCTTTGTTCTCCATTTTCTTGATAGAGATGAAAAATTAGGATGCCTGCCTCACAAATCAAAGGTCTAATGAGGTCATCAAGCTTGTCATGGTGCTCTGATAGAGTGGTTTTCAAGAATGAGAGTCCCTCATGCACTTTATGCATTTCGTGGGGAAACATTTCCACAAAAATGGCATCACGGAAGAAAAGGTTCAAAATCAGAAAAATGAGAGAATCCACAAAGTCTCTAAACACCAATGAATGAGTTTCTTTAGTGGGATGGAAGGAGGACCCTGAAAACTTTGAAACATCTTGCAAGACACCAACATAAATCTCACAAACACGCGACTCAACTGGCTGAATTATTCTCGTAAGTTCACCATGAGAATTTATTGAAAGATAACCACATTGAAAGCAATCACGAAAAAGTAGGACTGCAGATTGAATAGATACACATTCAAAGTGAGTCAAGAGATCTCCGATGATCTGCCTATCCTCAAGTCCGTGAAGCGTAGCAAAGCGAATGAAGTTCTTCATGAACGTTACGGTTTCATTTGCGTTGGGACTCTGATCTTCAAGACTCTGCAAACTGTGAAGAATGAAGTCGACGCTGTCCAGCAGTTGCTTCACATCTGTTCGAGAAGAAGATCCTGTTTGCAATGTGATATCTGTCCACGACAACATTCTGACCAATTCCTCAATTCCTGGTTGCACCGATTCAACAATTCTCCCAAGAAAATCTTTAAGCACATCATCCCATATCTCCAAATCAGCATCCCATCTCTCATCAGAATCATCAACCCTCAGCAATTTCTCCTTCAACGTGAGACAAAGAAACAGAATTTCCAGGGAATGTCTGTGAAGAATGTCCTCCACTGTACACACTGCAGTTTCCCAGTCCACATCTTGTTCATCGCCCCACTTTCTTCCCCACAAATAAAACCATCTCCCCCATTCCAACAACATTCCCGGATCATAAAATTCCAATTCCAAATCTGGGAATAAATCAGAAAAATTTTTTCTGATGGACTGGAGCTCATCTAAGGCATCTTGAACAATAGACTCTCTGGAATACATCTCTGTAACTGCCAAAAAGAATTTGGTGAGAAAAGAACTTCAGACAATATGCATGTATTGTTTTCCCAACTCACTTATTTGAGAAGGTAATATGTTATTGATTCAACAACAACAACAACAATATAAATAAGCATTAATTGTTTTAGAGAGATTGATATGCATTTCTTCTTTTTTTTTGGTTCCCAATCGTGAGCCTACAAACAGTAATCCTGTAGAACCTCCTGAGCTAAGAACCATAATTTTTTTTTTTTTTAGAAAAACAAAAGATTCGTACCTTTGTTGATAGACTTTTAAGTGATTGTGATTGACCAAATCGCTAATCTTCTCCTTTTCGGCCTTCCAATCTCCAACGGAAACTTGATCGGCCCCCAAGATCTAAATAACTTCGCACAAGTCAACGCAGATTCTTGATCCAATTAATTAAGAAAGTTTTTTCGGAAAACCAAAAACAAGGAATTCTTGGTGGTAGAGAGGGACTTGAGAGAAGAAATAATATCAAAAGATAACAAGGAAGTACTGAAACTTAAGACTTCAGATCAAAACAGAGAGTTGAGAGATGAGGAAATGAAAATTTCAGAAGAGAAATGAAGTTGAGAGCAAGAAGACTAAATAAGCATTATCTTTCATGAAGACAGAACCTTAATTAAAATTACAATACTTTTTTGCCATTAGCTTTGTACTAGTGCTATTATTTATTTTTTATGTTTACTTTTTCTTTGAAACAGTACACCTATTACTACTACTATTAGATTATTGACATTAAGCAGACTTGTCCAAAAGTAGTTGCCTGGAAGGAAACGGGGATTAAGCTTTACACGAAATTGATATAATAATGCAACTAATAATAAAGTAATAATACAATAATTACATCTTAAAAAATTCAACAAAGCGCAAAAGAATCTTTGCCTTAGCAGTAGTGAGATCTCAACTCAAAACTTGAGCCAATTTGCAGTGCTGCTTCTAATTTTTTTTTTTCTTTTTTGGATATCACAAACTCCAAAGAACTCTTTACTTCAATTTTATTTATTTATTTGTTTAGTTATTAGTATTTTTTTTCTTTTTTTGGTGCAAACATTAACTCAAGACTCAAGGTTGTTGTTTTCGTGTTTGCAAAACTTTTTAGGGTAAAACTCAGCATTGGTCCCCAAACTTTAAGGGTAGCTCAGGTGAGTCATCAAAAAATTTTCTTCAACGGTTTCAGTCACCATTTTTAGTTTTATTCAACACTATGGTCCATTTGAAGAGAGAATACATTAAGTTAAGGTGAATGACCAAAATCCGTTTGTAACGCCCCAATCTGGCCCCCTTTGTATTCTAAAAATGAAGTCCTGATTAAATACCTGCCCAACTCTCGTCAGGTCTCAGTAATAGTTTCAAACATGTACTGAAGAGCAAAAACTTAAGGCATTATCATGCCATAAGTTAAAATTTGGTAATTGATATGGAAGAGTGTTACATATCTTGTTCCAACGTTCTCGAATACAATGTTCTACATTTTTCGTGTTTGCAAAACTCAGCATTGGTCCTAAGAGTGAGAAAAACTCGCCTTGCGAGCATCTATACAACAGCTTACCTGTCATTGTATATGTTGGGAAGAAATGAGTAGGCAAAGTATCCTGACATGGCAATGCTCGTGACAGTTTAATGACTACAGGATGCGCAATATCTTCATTGGAATAGTGCACTTCTTTATCTTCGGATGCGATGCTTTGCTAGTGGAAAGGATCATTGAAATATTGTATGAGGATGAACTGGTGGACGGTGGTGGTGGTGTCGACGGTGGGGTGTGAGGAAGAGGAAGACGAAAGGGCGAGCCGTCGGTGGTGGTTTGGGCTTTGGAGGAAAAACTCTAAATAAATAAAATATTAGCGGGTCCCATTATTGATGAAATATTAATAAAATATTAAATAATTGACGAATTTTCTAATTCACCATTAAAGTTAATGAACTTTTCCGTCAAATATACATAGCTGTTGAATAAACTTAAACTTGAGGACTAAAATCGTTGAGAAAAATTTTATGGTGACCGACCTGAATTACCCAAACTTTGGGGACCAATACTGAGTTTTGCCCAACTTTTTAAGTACATACAGCTAAATCAATCTTAAAGGGAATTGACACAAGCAAGTAATAAAAATTGATTCTTTCTTTCAAAAATAGTTCTATACCTTATGATACATTTTAAATGCAAAACAATCAATAAATATCAATATAATTAATTTAGATCATCTTGAATGATTTCGATTATTTTCATTCCTTCAAAAATTTAATTAATTCATTCTTGGGACTTCAAGCAACAAATAAGCCACAATATTGAACAGATTCATGCCGCAATAAGCAGCAATTTTGGATATCTTTCACTGTGGATTATAATTCTGGGAGTTGCTGACTAACAGAGTAGAAATTTGTTATATTCTGGGCTGGAGTCATTGTATCCGCTCTCCAATTATCTGCTGTGAATCTAGGAAAATGAAAAGTTTGATCTTGGGAAAGTTGTAGCGAAAGAGACAGACAAGCAGAGGTTTGAATTAATTGGACCATTCAATGGTAATATGGAAAAAAATAATACTGTAATATTTTGCTCCGGATCCTAATTTATATCCTGGCAGAATCACTGGACAAAATTTATATAGATGTTTGGGAAACGTTTAGGATTATGGTATAACAGATCCTTAGACTATTGGAAGATTCAAATTGTTGAATCAGGATAATATTAAATTGCTTTTCATTTTCTAATATAACATTATGAATGGAACATTATGCTTTCTGGATTAAAGAATGCACATTCATAATTTTTATTTTTATTTTTATTAGTATTACTACTCAGAGAGGCATCCTTTAGATTGTGACGGATGATCTTCATAACTTCAGGACTAGAATGTATTGATTTCCAATTTTGGTCCGGCAAAAGAAAGGACCAGCTGAAGATGAAATACAAGTTTGTATATACTCGTGTAGTTGGGACAATTGGTTACTTTGACTCAAAATATCTTAGTATAAGCGATTTCATTTTTGTCCCATTCGATTTCTTATGTTCTTTAGAGAACGTTTTTTTTTGAAGTGATTTTTTTTTCCTTTTTCTGGTCACGACAATATAATCTAGTGAAGGAGCCTTTATTCTCTCCACTATTTGGAGTTGGTTGTATGTGTATATGGTTCATAACTCCACATTCACCAAGCTTGTACGATTTTTGGACTTGTTTCGTGTTTTTGTAGGTCGTTTCACGCCTAAAAGTTATTTTTACAGCTATGGCATAGTCCCTAGTCTATTGGGAAATGACCTTGACCCAGCACAAGAAGAAACTGGTTAGCATTGTAGATCCAAGATTAGAAGCAGTGGCGAAGAGAATTAAATAATATTTCAACGGTATTTGATAATTATTATTTCTTTTCAATTATTAAGAACATGTTTTATGCAAATCATGCAGCACAATAAAGTTTTTGCAAGTTTTTCACTCTGATTAAGTAGTTATAATTTTTAAAAATCAATTTTTAATTAACTAATATATTTTTTTTTAATGAAGAGAAGTAGATTTGTAGTGTATTTTTAACCCCGATAAGTCATAATAGGCCAATTTACTAATGAAGACTAAACTTCCCCGCAGCCCAAGCCCATATCCTTTCCTTCTTCCAACATCATTCTGCTTCTGCTCTCCCCATTCTCTACCCTCTTCCACCGCCGGAAACTTTTATTTCATTCAACTCTAAATTTCACGTTCTCATTATTTGGAAAATTAGGCTAAAATCATTATATGTGAGGTAGAGCATCTTAAATAATGCTAACAAATAGAAAGCACATGGATGTATATAGATCACCTAATCAAAAAAAATTCCGGCATCAACACCCTCTAGTTCGGCATCATAGCACATGGTTGTATATAGATCACCTAACGTTTTGTTCCAGGAATTAAATATGACTGTGTTTGTAGGATATTTAAAATGCTGAAAGCAAACTGACAAATATTACTGAAAGATTTAAGTAGTAACTATTTGTTACTTTCCTCATTGTTAATCGATTTTGGGATGCAAGTACAACGGACACCCAAGAGAATTTACACTAATGTTTAATATTAATCTATGTAGCTTTATATGCATAATATTCTGTAACTTCAAATTCAATTGATCAGTTAATTTATCGATAAAGTTACTTGATGTTTTACTTATATATATATGTATATGTTTATTTATTTATTTATGTATCAAATGAAAACTATTATAAAATAAGGAGTTAGTTTTTCTTCATTGGTATAATTTTTGAAGCTTCAATATTCATTCCTATACATAAGTAGTAAACTCACGAATGGTCGTATTCTGACAGCTGATCAAGAGTTGAGTAATATACAATAAAAAAGAAAATGAGCACCAAGAGAATTAAACATATATGTAAGAAAGATGCGTGGACTACCATGAGTTAATTTATTGAAGCTTGTGTTCTTAGGAACGAGCACTTCAATCGCTATTGCATTAAAAAAGAAAAAAAAAATTGTCTTGAATTATATCCATCCATTCACAGGGACCATTGAATAACGTTCAAGAATCTACCGTCTAGTTTTCTTTATAAGTTTTTTTTTTTTTAAGTTCATTTGTTGGATGTAGAAGTAAGACCAATTAAGTTTTGGAACAGAAATATGCTTTCATAGGAACGTTACAAAGCATGATGATATTTCCTATTTCGTCATTATTTGGAGTAGAAACAAGTGTATTCTTAAATTCTCATTTCGAATCTTTAGTCCACAAAAAATATCAATCCTTCGGTAAAATTTATTAGTTTGAAATGTTGTTCTAAATAGTTACCAGTAAATTAAAACAATGTTTACGAAAATGTGTATTCCAAGAAATTCAATCATATGATCTTAAAAAGATTAATGTTTTTCCTCCACGCAAGGTTCTTTATTTCTCAATCCAACACATCTAATATCACCTATTACTTTTAGAGAAGGCACCCCATGCATCTGGCATCTCCCAAATTCTCTGTAATTATATAACCTATGAATTAGTATGTTGTGCTTCCTCATGCTAGCCTGGGTTCAATTCCTATTAAAGGATTTGTAAGAGTGGTTTTACCCACATTTAAGTGGGGTGCACTGAGGTGGATTTTTTTCAAAAAAAAAAACGTATGTATTAGTATTGCTTAAGTTTTTTTGTTTTGTTTTGTTTTTTTTTTTAAGTAGTGAAAATTACTTTATTTTCCAAACATATGGAAATTGACTTTGATTCAATACAACTAGACCTTTTATACGATTAGGCAAGTCATCATGAGAATACTGTGTCGTGGTTCGGAACGAACTTGCGAGTTTAGCGAGATCATTTGGTACTGTGTTCGTTTCTCTATACACATGTCGAACGGTGACTTGCATATTTTGTGTCAAAAGCCATATTTTTTTTAAAGAATGCTTTGATCGCCATGGCCAACTTGTTGGATTCGCTAGAATGTTGACTAGAGTTTTCGAATCCGTTTATGCTTCAATTTGAGTAAATCTAAGGCTTTGGCAAAGTTGCATACCTCTCAGGAGAGCTTCAACTTCAGCTTGAAAATTAGAGGCAGTGCCAATAAATTTTGCTTCAGTTAGAATAACTTTTCCTTGCATATCTTACTCCACAGCCTGCATCACCTGGATTGCCAATTGATGACCCATCAACGTTGATCTTTATTCCATTAGTTGGAAGGGTCCAAGTCAAAAATAATGGGGTACTCTTTCTTGCTTCTTTTGCAAAAGGAATGAGTCCTGCAGTTACAAAGCTTGAATCCTTGGCTGAGGATGCTTTAAAAGGCACCGCTTTTGCCATAATGTGTAGATCTTGGACAATAAGCCTCACTGCAATGTGTGGAGAGATTATTGTTGACTCAAAAATAGCTTTATCCCTACATTTCCACAGCTGCCAACAAATGAGAGAGGGGAGGAAAATCTGTAGCTTCCAAGTCAGCTTTGAAGATTGTCTTCTTGTCCACCATGTAGATGAAAGATCATCAAAATCCAAAATTTCATTGTTTGCAAAGACCATAGTCGCTCCAAAATGTCTCCAATGTTTAGCATAAGAACATTCAAAGAAGTTATGCCGAATGCTTTCAACATGATTCCTGCATAAAGAACACACAGGGGGAATATTCAGTCCTGTTTTCATTAAAACATCCGCAAAAGGAAGTAACTTGTTGTGCAATCGCCACATGGAGATCGAAATCTTCAGCTGAAGCCTTTTGTCCCATATATAAGTGCATTGTTGGGATGATTCTTGTCTTTTCCGCAGGTGATTGAATGCTGATTTCAGAGAGAATTTTCCAAGAGTATCATTCTGCTAAATCTAGTCATCAGCTTCATTTGATAGTGTAACTCTTTACTCTCTATTTCATTGATGTCATCCTGGAGTAGAATTCCTTGTAGTGAGTCCAGATTCCAAGCTTCATTATCAATCAAGTCTCTAACCTTCTTCATCATATTTAACAGAAAGGTAACCTGTGCCAAGCCAGTCATCCTTCCAAAAATTTGCATCACCATTTTTTATCTCAACAAAGGTGTTGTTTCTCATGTATTTTTCCCATGGCTTCAACCTGGAGTGAAAAACCGAGGAATCAACTCCTTTCTTCCAAGGATGTATTCTGTTCTTGCCCAGCTAGCTCTGCTTCCGTATTTTCAGTTTCACCTTGTCGGAGATTCGATCTATGTTGAATTCCATGTGTATCCATATCCTTATTATCATTCAAATATGAGTTTTCCAGTTCAATTTGAGGCTGCATTCCAGCTTTGTCAATGTCTTCTTGTGCTTCTGAAGGCTCTATTACTTCATTGATGTGGATCGGACGGGTGGTCTGGCTTGAAATCAGATCAACAACATTTTGGGGTGCCCCCTCTTGTGCTATTTTCACTTTACTTGTGACGACATTAGAGGCCGAGTTTCGGCCTAAATTATCAGGAATTTGAACTATTTCTTCTTGGGAGGAGCAATGATTTGATGGAGGAGCCTCCATTGGAATGTCAATTGGAATTTTGTCCTTCTCACTTTTGGACAAGCCTGATGTTGAACGATTGTGAATTTTCTCTTTGGCTTTCTGACATTAATTCCTTAGGCTTCCAAAGCTGTTTTGGTGGAGCATTTATTGGAATATTCTTCACCGATTCATCCCTTAATCCTTTAGCTGGAAGTTTGCCCAAAATTCATAGTGAATTGCCCAAAATTCCAGTAGTTGTGTAGCCAACAGCGGTGAAAATTCTCATGGAGGTCAAATTGGATTAGTATATGCATTGAATCCATCAATCCTAAGGTCTAATTCCCTTTGAATCCAATTGTTCGAAATTCTTTTCTGAGGAAATTCATTGATGGCCATTTGCCGAGAAGCGGCCGACCAATGCCAATTCATAGGTTGAAGATAATTTAGCGATTTCCTCTGGGTTGTAGAATAGCTCCGGTTCCCCTTTGAAGATAGATCCGGTTCGAACTTCATTGAAAATAGTACCAGTAGCAATGTGTTCTTCGGATTGAGATACTAGAGCTTGTCGATATGAGATGGAGGAAGGTGCAGGCCTACCCTCCGCCGCCGTGGTGGCGGCCATGGGAGGCCATTGGAATATATATAGTTTTTAATTTGAGCTTTAACCAAATCATTTTATATTGCATATATATGACCAGAGGTTTCTCTATCTAAAAATTGATAAATGGCCGTTAAAATTCATTTGCAGTTATACTGTATAATAATGTATAAATTTTCAAACAAGGCATTATGTTTTCTTCACAATCAACATTGATAACATTTGTAACCTAACTGATAATCGTTGCTATGCCCAACGTAAATTAAGTTGAAATTAATATTGAAAGTGTACAATGAGCAAAGAGAAAGTTGAGTAACAAAATTTTTTTTCCAAAATGATTTGATAGAACCATCCTTTCATCACGTACAAGTCATATTAATCCCATGAAGGATGAATTTTTTAATTTCTAAGCGCCAATTTGATCGAATTACAATTGATTAGTCGACTTTATCTATTTCGATAATAGGTAATCAGTCGACTTCAACCCACACTAATGTAGACCATCTTCAACTCTTGACCTCTATTTTGATTCCAGTAATAGTTTCATAACTTGTGCCAGATAAAAAATCATCTTCAGGAAGACGTAGTCAGCATTTGATTATTCTATTCATAATCATAATTTTATCGTGGACGAACATTTATCAAAGACCTTATATCTATAATTTCCCATTGCCCAAAGATGGTATCTAGGATTCCTTCTCCTATAGGCTAACAATATATAGGAGTGTAAATTTATTGTCAAAAGCATACAAATGAAACAAGTCATGTGATCAAATAAAAAGAATAGCAAAGTGTGATCATGATACTATACAACTTAATCCAAGGACTCAATAGAAATCCGGCCTGAGATACATCGCAGACTTGCCATGGAGGATTTTCATGTTAGCAACAAAAATTAAATGTTTTTAGTTGTGTGTAATTATTTCGGTGGGATCTCTCATACATGATTGTATTTCCGGGTAATGTAATTCTAATTTCATCGTAAAATGCTAAGTCGACTTTCAATAAATCAAAAGGATCTAATCCATTTAAGATGAGGTGAGGCTAATTATAAATTTTAAAGTACAAAAAATAGTTCCTTAAAATGTTTTTTTTTTCATCAATTTTGGTTGATATAACAGATTTTTTAGTCAACTAACGGGTTAACCCTTCTCTCTGTTAATTTTTTTTTTTTTTTATTTTCCTCCTGACTGTGGCACCCACAAATTTTGACCCAGAAATTTTTTTCTTTTCTAAAAAAATCTACAGTTAATAAAATATTTCATAATTAACATAGAGTTAACATCTCTGTTATTTTAAGAAAAAAAAATCAGTTAATAAAAAAATCATCAACTAGGAGTTGTGATTTGCGACGTATAATGCAACAAAAATGCGGTAACAGGTAAATCATATAATATAAAGCATTAATGCAGAAGAAAGGGCCAAATGAAATTTTATCCAGTTCAGTAGTTCTTCTGTCTGACAGCAACAAAAATATTTTTTTATTATTAGATTTACCAGTTATCGTATTTTTGTTGAATTATAGTAAAATATTTCATAATTTCTTAATTTGCAAAAAAACATGTTATTAAAAAAAATCATCAACTAGGAGTCATGATTCAGGACGTATAATGCAACAAAAACACGGTAACAGGTAAATCATCATATAATATAAAGCATAAATGCAGAAGAAACGGCTAATTGAAATTTTATCCAGATCGGTAGTTCTTCTGTCTGACAGGAGGAAAATTATTTTTTTTATTAACAGATTTACCTGTCACTATATTTTTGTTTCATTATAATAAAATATTTTGTATTTAATAGAGAGTTAACATCTCATCGTTAATTTCATAAAAAACATGTTCTTTCGATCAAAATTGATGATAAAAATATTTTAGGAGACTATTTTTACTAATTGAAAATTTATGACGACTCTAGCTATCCTCCAAACTTTGGGAACGAAAAGTGCGTAGTGCATTTTGTCCTTCTCGAAATGATTGAATCTCTTTCATTGGTAAGAAAACAAGGGAAATGGGGAGAAGGATTGAGGAGAATTAGTTAATGGTTCAATAAATAACCAGTAACAATCCATGTCGTGTTTGAGTAGTCAGCATTGACGAAGAGTCAAGATTTCCTCAATCCCATCATCAATAGTGATATTTTACAATTGTTGACTGAAAATATTTGTTAGCTTTTAAAGTTTCTCTTTAAATACCGTAGTAGTTGGGGCCTGGGGGCGAATGGCATAGAAGATTTGCAGTGCGTCCAATTTCTCCTTTAGACATGGCGTCTTCCAAATATGCAATTTTGTGTACTTGGCTCTATTTTCTGTTGCTATCTTCTTGTTTCTTCTGAGTTCTTCTTACCATGTAAACTTCCATCATGTTCTCTTAGTAAATTTTTTCATTTTTGTTTTCATAACCCTCTCAATTCTATACAATTAATTCAGGAGCATGTTATGGTAAAATCAAAAACTTGTCCATGGTTTTTTGTTATATATAGTAATTATTTTAATTCCAATGTACCTGAAACACATTATTAAATGATGACTACTAGCTAACGTTGATTGCGGATTGTGGGATGAGAGAACACTATACATGACAAAGATTCCTATGTTTTCAAAATGTTGTTAATTTTGCAGGTGAAGCAAGGCCTGTAGAGGCAAAGGAAGAGAATGGTGTAATGGTTCAATGCAAGGAAAGGATCAAAGCAGGGAGAAAATTTTGGTGCTGTTGTGAACGCTGTCATCATTCTTTATAACGTTGCAAGATGGGTTGTCAATTCTTTGTTCGTCATTGTCACTCTCCTCCTCCTCCTCTTTCTCCTTCTCCTCCTCAACGTCCTTAAATTCATGTAATTGGTTAATCTCAGTTAATGATTTATGGACATCTTCGATGATTTAATAGATGGTTCAGAGTTTCATATCTATCAAAGGGCCAAACTTCCGATTATTTATCCACTTAATTTTGTTTGTGCTTGGAAACAGAATTCAGATGAATAATCTGGCGCTGAACATAATTAACTTGCAATAATGTACTCCCTCTGTCCCAAAATAATTGTCCAGTTTGAGATTTCACTTTTAGTACAATTTAAACTAGAAATAAAAACTCAAACTGGAAAATAATTACGGGACGGAGAGAGTAATATATAAATTTGATAAGTGTTGAAGGCTGGAAGCCGAAGCAACACAAACATAACTTTATGATCTAAAGTAGTCCAAATCCTTACCCCAAACAGAACACATGATCATCATCAACTAGGAGACATGATTCGTGACATATAATGCAACAAAAATACAGTAACATGTAAATCATATAACATAAAGCATAAATGCAGAAGAAAGGGCCAAATGAAATTTTATCCAGATCGGTAGTTCTTTTGGCTGACAGCAATTAGACTTGAAACGGTGTGATTACCGTTCTCTTGCACCCAAGTTAAGTGAACAAATGTTACCGTTCCATTCTTAGCCCCTGCATGCGTAACGATCACCGTATAGGCTTGTTCTTCATTCTTGTGGTTGAACTCCAAGATATTAGGTGAGACGGTCACGTTGGAATCTTTGGGTGCTGTCACGAAAGCTTTATACCTGGAAGCGCCATGGACCACGTTTCTGACCCTCCTATTGAACTCCCAAATCAGCGAATCTACTCTGTCATCGAGTTTATATAGCACCATGAACGATGGATAATTCAAATCCGATGAGGAGTTTCCACAATCGAAGCCAAACGATCCCACAACCGCGAAGATTTGATCCCTCATGTAGTTCATCGCACACAACAGATTGATGTAATCCTGCGCAGATGAATTGTAGATAAGGCCGGGATCAACTGCTCTGTTGGGGATGAGGTGGCCACAACCCATTTCAAAAGGGTTGGCATTGCGGCCACCAGATTTAACATCTTTGATTGGCTTGCCGAGATTATCGACAACATCAGCCGTGGTTAACATGGCTGATCTAATTGCAGCTGGGCTCCAATCCGGGTGCGCCACTCTTAACATAGCCCCAATCCCTGCGGCTTGAGGAGCAGCCATTGAGGTACCACTGCTAAACATGAACCAACCGTATGTTTCCATGGACTCAACGTCTCCCGCCCAATCGTATGGACTCCAAGAAGCAAGAATGTTTTCTCCAGGAGCTAAGATATCAGGTTTCAACACAAGAGGGCAGTTCAGAGATGGACCTTTGGAGCTAAAGCCGGCTACTTTGGGAGAAGGTATGGTGCCGATTCTCGTCTCTCCAAATACCATTCGAGCTGTTGGATTGGGACTGGTTTGCGCGTATTCTAATATGGTTTTCCCATCACGGGGAGTGAAAAAGAGGGCTGGATAACGAGTTTCAATCACATCGTCGTAATCAATGAAATTTGCTTTGAAGACTGCACCCCTGACTCCTTCCACCATGAGAACCAACTCCTTCAGGTCATGTAGGGATAAGTTCCCCTGTGGCTGGCAAACAACAATCTTGCTCCTGGATTTGAGTACCTCATGCGCATCTTGGCATGTCTTCAAATCAATGAGAGGAATTTCAGTGAATAAAGCTTCCCCTATATACATGGACTGCCCCTGAATTGTTCCTCCATCAGATAAAAGTAGTAGGGTTCCTCCGAATTCCCGGTCAATGGCACCAGCACCGACGGTGAGTACCCACGGGAAATCATCGGGAAAAACGCCATTATTTCCTGCAGCTATGGAAACAAAAATCCCTTTCCTCATGGCTGAAAAAGTGCCGGCTGCAAACGGGTTTTCATAGAATGTTCCTTCTTCCCCAATTGACAAAGACAGGACATCCACTCCATCAACAATAGCCTGATCAATAGCTGCCAAGATGTCAGCTGAAGTACCCATCTCTAATCCTTTTCCATCACTGAAATATGTCTTGTACATAGCAGTCCTTGAATTTGGAGCCGCGCCTCTTGCGACCCCCAATCCGTATCCGCCGTAAGCTGCACTTTCTACGTATCCCCCGGCACTTATGGACGCACAATGCGTGCCATGTCCGATGGTGTCTCGCGGAGACTTCATCGGTATTTTGGCATCTGGATCCTCCGCGGGAATCCCTTTACTGAAATGTCGCGCCCCAATCAGTTTCCTGTTGCACATTGTTGAATTGAAGTCGGTCGCGTTTTCGCACACCCCTTTCCAGCGGGAAGGGATTTCCGACATTCCACGATCAGAGAAACTCGGATTCTCAGGCCATATCCCTGAATCCACTATTCCAATGATGCTATCCTCTCCGCATCCAGAAAGTGGCCAAAGTACAATGTTTTTTAGACCAAGAAAATTGGGGGACCTCGTGGTCTGCAATTTGATCGGTCGGCGTTCGGTGGCTGAAACATAGCCTGAAAACTTTTTAAGAGCATCCAGATCTTGCAGGCAAAGCATTGCTGAAAACCCATTGATGGTCTGAGAGTAGGTGTCGACCATCTTTTCGCCGGGTTTCAGACTCTCAACGATGGATGAGTACCAAGCTGAGTATTTGGAGAATACTCTTGACATTTGCCTAGAGTCCATTTGGACTATGTAGAGTTTGCATTTCTCCTCTTTGACTGCATGAAGAGATGGGGATGAAATGCACAAGAAGAAGACGAAGAAGAAGAGCGCCCAAAAAAACATGGGACTCATTTTTTTGAGTATATATGCAAGAGTGCATCACTACTGTATGCTTAGTAGTAAGAGTTTAACGTTGTCATCATTGAATCTATCCCCACTCATCGTCACCATCTTTATAAGCCAATTGATGTTTTACCAGGATTAATAGGCCATAGAGCTTTCAAACATTTTTTTTTTTTTTTTTTTGGTTAGGTTACAGAAACACGTAGTTCTTTTACAAAAACTGAAACATGATACAATGTTCTCAACAAGTAACAACCTGTATGATAAATTTTTGTAATGTTGCTTAAAAGAATATGAGAAAGAATACGTGAGGAGATAAGATTGTTGCATTATTTAGCATCCTCTTAAAATCTAGCTACATTTGAAATAACTAATCGATCTGGAATTCCAAACAACTATGCAATGTTTAACTAAATTAAGCTGAGCATTGTTAATTATTGAGTGTTCGCGTGATAGATTTATCATTAAGGTGCATCATATAAGTATATAATCGAATATTAGCAAAAGATTGTGACTTGTGAGGGACAAAAAAAACCAAATTTAGATAAGGAATTGGTGAGATTCAGCTATGCTCAATTGGAATTTTTTTAAAAATTGTATTCCCTCTCTCTAAAAAACAACGGGTAACTGTTTTATGTCAATTAAATGAACTATTTTTTAAGAAGAACATAGTACATTTTATATAACTGCGTCCTCAGTTATATAAAACAAACATGCTTTGTTAATTACATTACCAAAACGTGAACGTAGGAGTTACAACTATAGGCTTCTCTAACTGAAACAATATCAAGTTGTGATGCCACCTATCTCAAAAATCTAACAATACAATTTTAGATAGGAAGGTAGTGCTTTAATTTTCCTTTTGGTTTTTTTCTTTTTTTTTTTGTTTTATATTTTTTTTGTTTCAAATTGAATCATCGTGTCATACCGATGCAAGCATGTGTTCAGGAAAAATCTTTTTTCTTAAAAAAAAAATTGAAAACCTAATGTACATGATGAAAAATTGATTTTTTTAAAAAAGAAAAAACAAAAAAATGTAAACAGGTCATGCGTGAAAAGCATAACCGCTAGTTCCTCTAAAGGACATAAGATTGATGTTTGGATGATTTTATATGGATAGGAGTATTACATGAATTGATAGGAACAGAGGATATAATACTGTAAATTGGAAAGGGGGAAGTATTACGACATTACAATTTTGAAGACAATCCATGCTGAAAGATAGGTTAATTTAGGGTTTAGGTAGCGTGTGAAATTATGCATTGTGCCAATAGAGTGAAATTACTAAAAAGATTTAGTTTAGGGACTTGTGGGTTAATTTCACTCTATTAAAAAGATAGGTTGATTATTCTTATTATGATAGTCGTTCACTCTATCAAATATATTTCGGCATTGTATGGTGAATTAAATGCATTTAAGTAGCATCAAAGTTGTATGTGTGTTTAAAATTTGTCTTAATCGTTTACCAATCAAAATTTTAATGTGAATGGGTACGTAGTGGGTTGGGAGACAAGAAATGTAAGAAGTTATAAGATTGAAGAAAAATTTAATTAGGAAACTTTTATCAGCCAGATTTAATGGCCTAAAAAATATATACAAGATCAGAACCCGGATTCGAGAAACAGAGTGGGTAAGGATTATATATGAAAATGTGATGGGGGAATTCCAAATCGCAATTGTATCAGTCAACACGTTATTATGTGTTCTGAATGGATAAATTGCAGATTATCAATATATACTTCCTCTGTCCTGAAAAGATTAATTTGTGCCAATGCATGCTACATCTTAAACACATAGGCAGAGCCAGACAAAGGGTAGTTGATCTCAAGGACAATAATCTCTCCAAATGCAGTTTCTGGTCCAAAGATTTAATACCAACCGACGTAGTAGTAGGCCAAAGGAGGAGGAGTAGAATGATGATGAAAGCCGGAGCTCTTTGAAGCCATTCTGAGCCATTTTGTCCAGCTTTGCTGCATCTTCATCATGATGGGAATTTTTGGTTATGTTCAACTGATAAGGAAGAAAAATCCTTCCAGAAGCGTATCTCGACCAAGTATTTTCGATTTCCTGCCGGAATTCATCATAATCGGAATTTTCTCCCCTGTAAGCATACTCATCAAACCGCAATCTCGGGGTAACTGTAATAAGCAACTGACCAAATACAGCTTAAGAAAGGTCGTATATTGTATAACTCAAATCAAAAGAACCAAATTGTGATATACTGGAATCAAGAAACGGTGGGGCTAAAGCCGATTAGACAACCTGAAACCCGAAGAAATTCGAGCAGCAAAAGGATTTGGAGCATAAACCCTTGTAGGCCAGTTTATTGAGTATTTTAATGGAGGATTAATTTCCATGGACTTGTCAGGAACCGAGACTTTAATGGAAGAAATGGAAGCCGAAATCGTCGTGGCTTCGAGTTGGCCGCAAAGATGGAGAAGGGAAAATACGTAACCGGAGACCGGAAACCGCGAGAGGAGAGAAACAATCGTTTCTGTATTTTCAATATTCTGATTTTTCATACATTTTACAACTCTGACTATGATATATATAGTCTGACTATTAAACCAAAATTACATAAAAGCCCCTTGTACTGCTGGTATCTACCAACAAACCCCATGTCATCTATGATAAGTCCCGAGTTTAGATAAAACGATCAAATACCCCTCAACTTATTATAGTCAAACCATAATGCTACTAATATATACTCCCTCCGCCCCCATAATTGTTGTCCAGTTTGGGTTTCATTTCTAGTTCAAATTGTACTAAAAATGAAATCTCAAATTGGACAATAATTTTGAAACGAAAGAAGTACTAGATTCCCAGCCTCGACAGAAGCCCGGCCTGCTTCACACATTAAAATGTAGTAATCAATTATCGGTTGATTTACGGAATCTTTAATTAGCAACAAAAATTTAGGAATTGAAAAGATTCAGAGGTATTTTCTATTTTTTGTTTTATTTTAATTTTTCATATTTACACATTAAATGATCTAATATAAAGCTCTCTAAATGTTTTTGGGAGGGAAAATACTTCATAAGGAGATGCAAATGTCCTAAGTGGCCGTTGTGTTCACTAGGTAAAAAGACATGTATTGTTAAAATTATCATCATTTTTTAAAATGCTAAAAAATACCCTTCAATTCATATTTTTAATTACTCAATTTAAATGATTTTAAAATTATATCATAAATTAAGTTGCAAAATTTAAAAAAATAAAAAAAAATACTACGTATTAATTATTTTATATGAATCTACTGCATATATATATACTAGTGATGTCTGGTCGCGCAATGCGCGACCCTGGCCCAGTCTATCTGTAGATCTTAGAAATGTTTATATTTAAAAAAAAATAAAATTTTGTATTTGGAGCGATATCTTTTAGAAATATTTGAAGGATTTAGAAATGTTTTATAAGTGTGATCATAGAAATATTTGTATTTCGCAAAAAAAAAAAAAAATGTATTTCGCCATGTATGTTTTAGAAATGTTTTATAAGTGTTACTTATTAAATATAAATAGCCTTAATCGAATATATGTGTTGAAGTAAATGTTAGATAAAATATAAAAGCATCCTAATAAATTTAAATATTAGTAAGATGATTTATTGATGTTCTCCATTGGTCGTGTCAAATCAATACTTAGTTTTGGAGATTTTTAATAGCTTTGTAATAAGGTTCATCCGAAGAGTATACACTTAAAACAAAATTGACACTTCGTAACAAAAAACTCAATTTAAAAAACCACTCTAGTTGAATGAAACATAAAGAAAAAATTAAAAAAAAAATGTTACGTAAAGTGCAAAGGGAGATTTAGTAATTTTGTTATGGTTAGACAAAAGGGCAATTTAGTACTTTTTACATGCTACGTGGCAATCATATGAGGTGTTTGAAAGGGGGGTTTTTGTTTCTAATATAGTAGGATATATATCACTAAATTAGGAATTGTCATATGTGGAATATAATAAGAACCAAGGTACTAATGCTGGTTGGTAAGACTTTGGGTTTGGGAGAAAAAAATATTATTAGTTCTGAGATTGGATACTTAAGAAAGAATTTAACCAAGATTTTCACGACTTCACCTCGACCGAGCACGCTTTTTAGCGAGAGATAGCGCTCCATATATAAAGGGAAGAGTTTTATATCCATCTCCGGCAGGCTGAAGGTCGTAAAAGCCTGTTTTGAGAGCTTTACAGAACATGTATCCGTACTATGTAATTCTTCTGTGTCATCCTTACAGCAGTACTTATTTCATTGGCAAATACATGATATGCCGCCAAAGTAGTTAGGACTATTTCTCCACTCGGTCTCTTGGTTTGAACTTCGAAGACAAATAGTGTCCCAGTTCCAATTCGAGAATTTTTCATACGCGAGAGATGCCGAGCGTGTCCTTCATCAAATAGTTTGTTATATGGTAGCTGATACTGAGAGCTTATCATCTCCCTGCCTGCCTCAACCATCAAACCGTAAGGAATCCGTAGGTATAACAATGAAGAGATGGCCATTAGCCTCAACTTAGATTGGAGAATTTATGAGGTGGCGTGATTGCAGAACTAGGGAAGCAAAAACACACATAGTAGTTAATTTCTTGAATATGTATTAGGTGTTATAAACTACTGATAATTCTGCTTTGATTCAGAGGAAGTTCAGTGAATGCACAAAAAGAAGCTGAGGAAGATAACCTGCTTCCTTTCAGTAGTTTCTTTTAAGTTTGAATATTGCTTTTTACCCCTCCCAAGGGGAAAAGAAATCAAAGTGAGGTGAAAATGCAGCGAACCAATTGAAGTTTGAGAAGTCAATTCATTGATTCCCTTGATCAAAATCATCCGTGTGTACAATCGTTCTGCCAACTACTATCGTCTTGTTGATAAATAACTGTAATAATCATTCATGAATACCTGAGCAAGAGTTTCTCCATACATTCAAAGAATATAGGTTATGGAAACTAATAAGAGTGAAAAAAATAACATCTAAAACAAATGTAGTACAACTGAAATCTTAACAAAGACGTCCAACAAAATAATAACAAGCTTAGATTCTGTTTCTCCAACCCATATTTGTCTGCTTTTCTTTACTCGTTCTTTGAGCCCATCACGTTGCGTTGCCAGTTTGGCTACTTGATTCCGAGATTCTTCTATGACCCTAGCACAACAAGGTGGATTTCATTCCACTTCCTGACCCTTTTTTCTGGTTAAACAACTAAGGTAAATTCCATTCCACCTCAAAAACAATTGTCTTCTCTTCACTACAATCCTTGCATGCAACATCTGATAAAGTCATCCCATTCAACAGTGTTTCTGGCATTTTTTTTTTTTTTTTAATCTTCATGGAGAAGAGACATCCCAAAGTCATTTATCAGGTTTTAATTCTTCATCTCAGCCAGCTTTTTAGGAATGCACTCAAACAGGCGCGAGTCCCTTTCATTTGTAGACAAATTATGTAGGGTTACAGCCTCAGGATACCCGTCAAAGAACCAACCATCATTAAAAAGACACAAAAGCTGCCTGAAAAAATAGCTGTTTCCGCATGCCAAATCGATCTCTACAGATATTTTGGAGGGTACTAAATTTGATAGCATTTCATAAAGTTTTTGGAACCAAGACCTATCGATATTTTTCTCTGGGAATAAAGAAATGGTAGACCTCAACTGGGGAGAAACAGCTTTGAATGATAGGTGTACAATGGCATCTTGTTCGAGATGAAAACTAGTGAGGCTGGGAGCACTAATCACCAGCTCAGACATTCAAGTCTTGAGCCGCGCACCACAAGCTTTAAACTCTAGACTCCTGAGCGAATCGCTTGTAACATTCATACTCGCAGGGGCCCTCGCAATGATGATAACTAGAGAGTTCAGATATGGAAAATAATTCGCGAGATTGCGAAGAATGCCTGAGTAACAACAGTGCAATCTAATTCTAAACTCTGCAAAAGTTTATATGCTACAGGCTCAAAAGAATGCGGTTCAAGGTCCAGGTAGGAAAGCTTCACAGTTTGAAGATTTGGTGCATCAATTTCCACAGGACTTGAACGACTTGAACTGTGCGTGCTCGTGTACGTGTTCATTTGTAGGTGAAGCTTGCGGAGACAGGGAACCTTGTTCAATGTAACTTTTTTCAGATCTCTGCAATACTCTGTCACAAGATGCTCAATCAACGGACAACCCGCGATCAAGGAAGTAAGACAGGTTCATCAATTGATACGAGCACCAAGATCAATGTGTGGATGTTTCGAAACAAACTCTGCACATTGATCAACTTTTTCTGGAACTCGCAGTTTCGGAGGGACAACATTGCTAGAGATTTAGATTCAAGAATGCGATCCGGTACAATGTAGGCCGCAGGATATTGATGGAAGAGCTGGAGCTCTAACTCTTTGACCCCATTCTCTACAGCTAATTTGAGCCATTTGTCCAAGCGAGCTGCGTCTTCTTCGTGATGGGATAGTTTGGTTATTCTCAACTGATAAGGCAGTAAAATCCCTCCAGAAGTGTATCTCAACAAAGCGTTTTCGATATCCTGCCGGAATTCATCATAGTCAGAGTTTTCTCCCCTGTAACCACGGTCATTAAACCACAATTTCGGGTAACTATAATAAGCAACTGACCAGTCGTTCTTCCATAAATCACGGGCTTTCTTCTTGTCATCGTCGTTGAGGAAAGACAGTATTCGATGAATAATATCTTCCCGCAAGTGTCCGAATCCGGCCGCTTCTACTCCTTCTCCGGTAGCCATACTAGATCCAATAACTAAATTAACCAATACGGCTGAAAAGAAGGTAGTCTTATAATTCAACCCCAACGAGAAAAATTTTGTATTGAAATCAAGAAGCACTAAAGCCGATTAAAGCCGAGCGAAAGATTATAGAGGAAAAGCTGAAACCCGAAGAAATTCGAACAGCAAAAGGGTTTTGGTGCATAAACCCTTGTAGGCCAGTTTATTTAGTACTCCCTCCATTCCAAAATAAGTGTCGTCCTACACTTTGCACATAGTTTAAGAAACTCTTAAATAGGTAATAAAATTACTTGAATATCCTCAACCAACCCCATTATAAAATTGTCCACCAATAGCATCAACTTTTTTGTGGGTAATTTTAGAAACTTTTGATAAAAAGTGCATTGAAATGTGAGAACGACACTTATTTTGGAACTTCTCCATTTTGTTAAAACGACACTTATTTTGGAATGGAGGGAGTATTTGACTAGAGGATTCATTTTCATAGTCTACTAGATGTTAAACCCGCGCGATGCGCGGGGTTTATTTATATACATTATAAAAGATTAACAAAAAAAATATTAAAAGTGTAAAATGTATTTGGAGTCTATATTAAGATACATTACACAACTAAAATTAAATTAAGGCGTAATTGTAAAGATAAAATAATGCATATCATTTGAAATACAAGTGTTCACTTGATTTTTATTGAAAGAGAAGAACTGGACAATAACACTCATAAGCAGAGTAAAATAAATAAGATTGTATTAATGTTACATATTGAATGAAAAGATAAAATGATTGTACGCGTAAAATACATAATGATGTAATTATCAATAGTAAATGGTAGATTATGTGTGACTGAAGTATGGAGTTTAAAGTTTTTATGGTTTTTTTGTTGTAATTAAAGATTTTAATGTACTGTTTGGTCCAATACTTAATATTTTAGAGGAACAAACCAACTGTAGAGTTAAAATTTTTGCCGTTTAATCCCTTTTTGCTATGACAATAGAAAATAATAATTGATGAAATTATGAAATTATGGGTAAAAAAGCATAAATTTAGTAACATCTAAAAAAGAACCCTAAAACATCATTTTGCAGAAGAACATATGGGAAAAAAAATTCATATATAACATTAATTAACTATTACCTCCCAGGCCACACGATCGACCCACTATTAATTCATCGCTTTCATAACAACAAAACAACTGTAGGGCTAAAGTTTTTGCCCTTTCATCTTTGGATTTCAGGTTGGTTTGGGGAGGGAGAAATTTTTGAACCACTAGAACATACTCATAGTTTGTGTGGCATGTATAAATAGAGATAAATTGGGATTGATGATAATTGATTATCCAAAATTTCAGTGATAAAGATGAAGTTTATAACAATTTTTTAGATATTCTTAAGGAAAGATTATATTTATTTGGGTAGATGTGATATTACACAAATAAATGCATTGGTTTGAAATTCAAAAGACAACATTTAATTATAGTTAAATTCCATCCTTTTACTAATAATTGAAGTCGAGTTTTGTACCCTTTTTTTTCTTTTTTATTGGCAAAAAATACAGGATCATGTTTTTGGGAGAAGATTTTAAAGATAACATTAATGTTGAATGATTGGTATTTTTTTTTTTTTTGAATTGTAGTCTATTGATTTACATGATTGGGAGGGAGATTTTTTTTTTATAGAGATTAATCAAATGAGTCCTATAGTAACTTTGGGATTCTTTTGGGGAGAGAATAATTCTGGTGCATTAATGTTCATTAATCCCGTCCATTAAATTTAATTAATTTTTATTTTCTTATTTTAAACTATAGTTTTAAATGCCATTTGATAAAACTTTATTTACATAAAATTTGAAGGACTATTAGTATAATTGTTGTAAATATTTTTTTGACTCAACCATTAGAAAAATGACACATAGGATTTTATCCTATGTGGCACCTTAAAAATTCTTTTTTGTTTTCTCTCTCTGGTTTCTCTCTTATTATAATACTATAGATGATAAGTCCACGAGTTTAGATAATACATTAAATACTCGAATAAACCCTCGTATTGGTCACACATTTGGTCTAATTTAAATTTTGGCCCAAACATTAATATTTAGAGAAAATGGTTCCAAGTATTATAGTTTGTAACTTATTTGTTCTAGTTCACTATTCTGTCAAATTTTCTATTCTATTGACTATTGACCTCGCTACGGGCAAGGCATTTTTGGTATTTCATATTTTTTAAAATTCCCATACATTTAGTCCAACTCAAATTGTAATCTCAAACATTAACATTTAAAGAAAATAATTCCAAACATTAATTTTGTAATTCTTTTGTCTCAATTCACTTTTCTATTAACTTTTCCATGTCGTTGACTATTGATCTCGCTACCGGCAGGGCTATTTTTGGTACTTAATATTTTTAAAAATTTTCAAAAAAATTAAATGTTACTTTTTTAGACGACCAGCGATTGCCGACGTCATCAACAATCGAGCTAACATTAATAATAGAGAAAAATAAAATGATATTGGAGAAATGCGAGCCCCTAACCTCTTGCATGAATGAATACAACCCAACCACCGGACTAAACTCAATTATTTGATATATTACTAGAATGTTTATTATATAATTAAAAACAAGTTTAATTGATTAATCAATAATAATTTGTTAATTAGTCGATTACAACAATTCAAAAATTTTACTAATGACTTAGTATCTATAAAATAATTATAAGATCACTAAATTTGTAAGTAATCGAAATAATTTTAATGATTGATCAAAATTAATCATTAATTAAGAGTTAATAAGTAATTATAATTTTGTAATTAATTTTTTAAAATTATTATTTTATTCAAGAAATGGTTATATAATATCGAAGTGTCGATTATTAATTTTTTTATATAATCAAATGTCAATTATATGCAAATTTCTCATTACTGTATGTAATAACTGAGTATCTGTTTAACTAAATAAAGAATTCATAATTAAACTTTGATGGGATTGGTAGAGAAACAAGGGGAAAACATCATCGTAGCTACTTTTATATTCCGCATAAATAATCCTAAAAATGACATAGCTTCATTAAGTAGGGATTTAAAAGATAAAAAATTCCAGGAGCTAACCGTCGTCTTCATATATGGTTTAAAATACATAAGTTATTGTTTTTTGTCCCTACTTAAGTTATTGATGTCATGGTACCGCCAAAGAATTTAAAGTGCCCGTTTGATTAGACCCATTGATGGACGAAATTGCCCCATTAGAGATAATTAATTTCTTGACATTTAATTCCTTAGTCACTCTAACTTTTATCATCCAAAAAAGTATAAGAATAATTAAAATATTAATTATTAGCGTTGTTGATGTCAGCTCAACCGTCAATGACATCAACAATCTTTGCGGCTAAATATTTTAGGTTTTTTGTTCTATTGAGAATTTTAAAAAAATGAAAAACGAAAAAACCCTTTCCTATAGCGGGGTCAATAGTTAACAGAACGGACAAGTTCATGGAACAGTAAATTGGTACAAAAAAAGTTACAACTATTATGTTTGGAACTATTTTTCAATATGTTATTGTCTGAAACTAAAATTTGAATTAGACTAAATGTACGGGACCAATTAAAAATTTCAAAAAATATAAAATACCAAAAATACCACTGCTCTTGACGGGGTCAATAGTTTACAGAACGAAAAATTTGACGGAATAGTTAAATGGGACTAAAAAGGTTGCAAACTATAATGTGTAGACCATTTTCTTTAAATGTTATTATTTGGGACCAAAATTTAAAGTGAGCTAAATTTAAATTGATGATACTCCCTTAAAAAGGAAAGAAACAGAACATCTGAAACAAATATACTTTTTAAACCTTATTATCAAGACGTCCAAAAGCAAATCACAAATTCAGATTTTATTCCGTGATCCACATACATCAAACCAATGAGGGGCTTTAAAGCTAGGCTTAATTCAAGCAAAAAAATTTACCATGTTTGTTGAGGTGCCGCCCAAGAACACTAGCAAATAAATTAACCCATAGAAGAAATTTACCATGTTTGTTGTCGGTTGATCAGTTACTGGAACATGGTATATGCGCCAGTTTAACTCAAAAACACTCGTCCTCCCTTTTCACAATCCGCACATCCACCGCCCGATAAACTCATCCAATCCCGCGGTTGTTTTCCACATTTTTTTCTTGTCAGGGTGAAAAACGGAAATCCCAAATTTCTTCAATAGGTTCTGATGTTTCATCTCAGTTATATTTTTTAGAATGATGCCAAATGCTGGAATCCCTTTTATTTGTAGACAAATGTAGGGTCACGGTCTCAGGACAACCAGTGAAAAACCAACCATCCGCAAAAAGAGTAAAGGTTTGCTTCAACCATCCATAAGACTTCGGGTTTGGGAGAAATGCGGATAATATTCTTAGTACTCCCTCCCTCCTGAGTTTGGATACTCAAAGAGAGAATTTAGCCCAGATTTTCATGACTTCACCACGATCAAGCACGCTTTCAGCGCAGAGACATTGCTCCCAAGGATTTTGCCAATACATCTTTAACACAAGTGCTGAGCCAGACAAAGAGTGGTTAATCTCAAGGACATCAATCTCTCCAAATGCAGTTTCTGGTCCAAAGCTTCAATACCAACCGACTAACGACATCCTTGTTGATCCTCGAAATAGACATGCATAGTTTTTTTTGCCTTTAAGGTTAGCAATCCTGTCTAACAACACTTCTCTGCAATTCATGAAGTATCTCTTGATCCAGGGAATCTTTTTCAGGTAGTCATTTTTCACTGAGGTTGTTATATTTGTTTCATTGAATGATCAAATGGCTTATTCTGACTGTTTGACATTGCTTTTCTTTTTCGAACCAGAAACTTGCTTCTGCAGATGCTTTCTCATGAAAACTATTGAATCTTGCAAGTATTAATTTGCCATTTTGAGGGCGAGATCAAGTGAATCCGGTTCAGGACATCCTGGTTTTATTGTGAGGCTTCCTTCTTCAAAAGTTTCCTCCAAACATTTACAGAATAATGTGGCCAGATTGGTTCATGACTTCATGCCTTTCGCTTTGGTGATGCTGGAGGGCTTATCTTCATTTTTTTTTTCCTTTTCTTTCTTTATTTATTTATTTTTTCAGAAGGAGAGTTTTGTAGTAATCTCTATCATCCTCGCAGCAGTACTAATTTCAAAAGCAAATGCATGATCTGCCAATGCAGTTCCACTATTCTCATCTCGGTCTCTTGGTTTCGACTTGAATACATATATAGTGTCCCAGAGCCAGCTGGTGGCTGCCTAAATTCGAGAATTTTTCGTACAGGAAAGATGCCGAGCGTGTTCTTCATCATCTGTTCTTGGGATTTTGCATGGTATCCTTTCAATTTGCCAAAACCTTAACATTCCAATATAGCCTAGGAAGAGATATCTGTGAATATCGGAAGGCTGAAATATTTTATGATACGCTAGGGGATACTGATTTAGACCATTCCAAAAAAGTGCGTGGTTTGTAGCTGCCTCAACCATCAAACTGCTAGGAATTTGTAAAGCTACTACAAGATTGTAGGTATAAGAATGAATAGATGGCTATTAGCCTCGAGTTAGAATGTATAATTTATGAGGTGGCGCGATTCCCGAACCAGTGAAGCAAAAGCACACATGCACATAGTAGCTGATTTCTTGAAGCTATGTACGTATTAGGTCTTATACACTACCGGTAAATTTTCTTTGATTCAGAGGGATATAAATCATATAATGATGAGTTCAGTGAATGCATGAAAGAAGCTAGGGATCTGTATATTTGAGCATTCAGTTCCTTTTAAATTTGATTTGCTTTTTACCTTTTCATCTCAAAAGGGGAAAAAAGAAATCAAAGTGAGAGGTGAACATGCGGAGAACCAGTTGAAGTATGTGAAGTCAATGCATTGATTCCTTGATCAAAATCATTGGAACATATACCCTATGTTCAATCTTCTACTAACTGCAATCATATTGTGTTGATTAATAAGTAATAACTGCAGTCATGAATGCCTGAGCAAGAGTTTCTACGAGCGAAAATAAAAGCGAAAAAATGACATTTAAAATAAATGTATTACTCAAATCTTAATAAAGACGCCGAAAAAAAGAAAAATAAAAATAATAACAAGCTTGTATTCTGTTTCTCCATCCCACATTTGTCTACTTTTCTTTATTCATTCTTGTTCTTTGAACCCATCACGTTGCTTTGGAAGTTTGGCTACTTGACCCCGAGATTCATCTATTGACCCTTTTTGGTGGTTAAACAACTAAGGTAAATTCCATTCCACCTCAAAAACAATTGTCTTTCTCTTCACTACAGTCCTGGCATGCAACATCAGATAAAGTCATCCCATTCAGCAGTTGTTTCTGGCATTTTTTTTTTATCTTCATGGAGTAGAGACATCCCAAATTCATTTATCAGGTTTCGATTTTTCATCTCAGCCAGCTTTTTAGGAATGCACTCAACCAGGCGCGAGTCCCTTTCTTCTGTAGACAAATAATGCCGGGTCACAGCCTCAGGATAGCCGTCGAAGAACCAACCATCATCAGAAAGGCACGAAAGCAGATCAAACAAATAGCTGTTTCCCCATGCCAAATGGATCTCTACAGATATTTTGGAGGGTACAAACTTTGATAGCATTTCATTCAGTTATTGAAAACAAGACCTACCGATACTGTTCTCGGGGAATAAAGATATGGTACACTTCAACTGGGGAGAAACAGCTTTGAATGATAGGTTTACAATGGATTCTTGTTCTAGACAAAAACTAGTGAGGTTGGGAGCATTAATCACCAGCTCAGACACAAATGAATACTCGCTATAAGTTTTGAACCCTAGATTCGTGAGCGAATCGCTTGTCACATTCATAATCGCAGGGCCCTTGCAATGATCAATAACTAGAGACTTGAGATACGGAAACTTATTCGCGAGATTGTGAAAGAATGCTTGAGTGAGCTCAGAGAAATGTAATTCTAAACTCTGCAAATGTTTATATGCTACAGGCTCAACAAAATGCTGTTCGAGGTCCATGTGGGAAAGCTTCAGAGTTTGAAGATCTATTTGGTACATCAATCTCCGCAGTATTCAAAAGACGTGAAGTGTCAAGCTAGCGGAGACAGGGAACCTTGTTCAATGTAACTTTTCTCAGACATCTGCAATACTCCGTCACAAGATGCTCAATCAACGGACAACCCCCTATCAAGGAAGTAAAGACAGCTTCATCAATTGAAGCGTGCACCAAGATCAAAGTGTGGATGTTTGTACACAGAGTCTTCGGATTGATCGGAAACTCGCAGTTTTGGAGGGACAACGTTGTTAGAGATTTGGATTCAAGTAGCCAATCAGGTACAATGTAGTAGTAGGCGGCCGAAGGAGAATCATCATATTCATGGAAGAAGAGCTTGAGTTCTATCTCTTTGACCCCCATTGTCTACAGCTATTTTGAGCCATTTGTCCAACCGAGCTGCGTCTTCACCAAGATCGGAATATTGTTTGGTTATTCTCAACTGATAAGGAAACGCAATCCCTCCAGGAGTATATCTCACCAAAGTATTTTCGATTTCCTGCCGAAATTTGTAATCGGAATTTTCTCCCCTGTAAGCATACTCATCAAACCACAATTTCGGGTAACTATCATAAGATCCGATAACTAAATTAACCAATACGGCTGAAAAAAAGGTAGTATTATAATTCAACCCAAAGAACAAAATTGTGTTGTATTGAAATCAAGAAGCGCCCCTAAAGCCGATTAAGGCAACCTGAAACCCGAAGAAATTCCAACAGCAAAAGAGCATAAACCCTTGCAGGCCAGTTTACTGAGTATTTGACTGGAGGATTAATTTTCATAGTCTATGATAAGTCCCCGAGTTAAAATTATCATCACTTTTTTTTTAAATGATCAAAAATACCCGTTCAATTCATATTTTTTAATTACTCATTTAAAAATATATCATAAATTAAGTTGCCAAACATACTCCATATTAATTATGTTATATCAAGTTACTCCATATCACTGAATTAGGAATTGTTATATGTGTACAATAATTATGAACTATTTCGTGCACGCTGGTTCATATTGAATTTATAGATTTGTACGAGTGCATTGAGTTTTATTTTTAGTCTAAATTGATTTTTTTTTCTTTTTGGATAGGATTTGACAACAAAAAGAGTAATGATAGATACAGTGATAATTAATAATAATTTACATTATTATTATTATTATTTGTTTTTAGTTTACATTATAATAATTTACATTAGTTTACAGTAGTTTTTATTTTTATTTTTTAATTTTCAACTGTCGAAAAACAAAAAGCGGGTCTCCAACATTTTAACCGAACTCTGGTAAAACGAGTTACTCGGGATATCAAACTCGTGGTTTCACGATCACGCTTTCTTATTTCTGATTCGTCAGTTAATCTAAAACCGACCTCAATCGTTCTCATTCTCTCCGGCACCGTCGTCATCGTCGCTGGTGTTTCCCCGGCGATCCAACACCACTTTCCGCCGTAGGTATTCCAGTTTCGAGGAGCCTTTTCCATAAGAAGCCGTACTCGACGAAGTCCTCATTGTCACTACAACCAAGCTTTAATTTGCCCCTCTCCTGTAAGGTTTCCTTCTTTTATTATTATTTTTTTCCTCTCTGAATTTTATGAGTTTCTTACTTGCGTTAATATGGTACTCTCGAAGGTGTAACGTGGTGAAAGACAAAGACACAAAGGTTTTATTTTGATAACATTCGGGCGGGATTCTGAGTTCAGGTTTTTTGCTTTGGGGTTTTCCAACAATTTGTGTTCTGTTGAATGGGGTTTTGAAATTTAATAAGGCTTATTTGATGGGACTATCATAATGGAATTATTATACCACTTATAAGGTTAAGGTAATGGTTGTGGCTGGTTTAAATTGATTGCAACTTCAAGGAAAGATTGTTTTGGCTTTGCAGTAAATGCTATTCGAAAGATAGGAATTGTAATTGATTTTGATGTCCAGAAGCAGATGAACTTTCTTTTTAAAGTATCAACTTTAGATTATCTGAGAGTAAGGGCATGGGGTTTTCGTTTTTAATTTTGATGGAGTTATGCTGAATTAATTTGTTAATTTAGGTTGTGTTTTTGGGATTCAAGTCCAGTGTAAATGGGAGACCTGACTACGTGGGTGTCTGACAAGTTGATGACCCTTTTGGGTTACTCAAAGCCTGCTGTTGTTCAATATGTCATCAGTATATGTAAGTTTTCTTCTCTTGTTAGAGTATACATTCATCAGAGGCAATCAGATGTATATGTTTGTAATTTGGAATGTTTTGTTCCAGCTAAAAAGTCGTCTTCGCCAGCCGAACTGGTGAACACACTAGTGGATTTGGGGTTATCATCCTCCAGTGAAACTAAGGCCTTTGCACAACAAATGTTTTCTCGAGTTGATCATAAGGCATCTGGTCCCAATGTGAGTTCTACTTGGGCTTTCTTATCTTCTTCGAACCGTTTCACTGTTTTGTGAACTCGTTTCTTAGCATGTGGTTGGTTGTTTGTATTAGCTTTATCAGCAGAGAGAAAGAGAGGCGGCATTGCTAGCTAGGAAGCAAACAACATATACTATCTTGGAGGACGATGATGAGGATGATGATTCTGGAGGTGCTGTTGCCAATACTTCTGCTCCTGCAGCAAATCAATCTCAAAAAGAAGATAACCGAAGTAAAAGGTTCAGGAAGAGGACTAAGCCCGAAGAATATGAAGATGAAGATGAAGATGATGAGGTATGCTGCTTGTGCTCTTGTTGATAGATTTAGGTTTTGTCATGCTGAGTAAGCTGTTTGTTCGTTTTTGCTTGTCTTGACAATTACTTTGTTTGACCCTATGAGATGCTGCAGGAAGAGATAACTAGGAAGGAATTAAAATCTTCGAGGAGACGAACTTCCAAGGATGAAAGCGATGGTTCAGAGGTATCTTTGAGTTCTAGTCACTTACTAATTTACCAAAAAAACTAATCATGGGCTTGACTCTCTTTGTGCTATGGCTGTTTTACTTTGTTTTTTCATAGTTTTTTCTCATGTGATGCTACTAATGTTAAATCAGTGGGTTGTTGATCTAAACCGCTTGCTTCAATTCATTAGAGTCCTCTCAAGTCCCTGAATACTGTGCTGTTTATTTCTTTTAAGGTTTTGTGGTGTGCTGTGATTCCTTATATACTTATATGATCTTAAACAGTCTGAAGAAGAAAGATTGCGTGATCAAAGAGAGAGAGAAGAGTTGGAACGACACATTAGAGAACGTGATGCAGCCAGGACGAAAAAGGTATTTTGAGTTGATAGAAAATACTTCTTTTTATTACTTATGCTACTTAGATATGTCTCCGAGTACAGTTCAGTTGTCTGAGATATTTGTAGGGGGAACATATCATGGAAAGTTGATTTATTAACTTTTTCGTCATGGTTCTAATTTCTGATTTATTATTTTCATGTGTTCCTCTGTGACAGTTAACTGAGCAAAGCTTAACCAAAAAGGAGGAAGGTACCATTTCTTTCACCATTTCTCTGTTCTTCTCTTTTAAATATCTACCTTTACATTCCATGAGTTGCTTACCTTTTTTTGTTACGTTTGTTTTGCCTGACATTATCCACTTCCATTTTGATGCATATAACCACAATAGAGGAAGCGATTCGGAGATCAAAAGCTTTAGAGAGTGATGAAATGGACATGTTGAGGTATGCCATGTTATATCTTGATCTTTGTTTCCTTTCTTTTCATGCATGTTTTACACCTTTTTTGGTCCATCATTCAGTTTGATCCTTTTTTTATTTTATTATTTTTTATAATTTTTCCTTATCAGCTTTGTTTGAATTAGTATGCGTTTGATTACAGCTCTTATTTGAATAGTTTTCAGCTGTTAAGTTGGGTAATTTGAGAAGCCGGAGCAGACGACTTCGTAGAAAGTCTTTATGCAGTTCAGTGGATAATTTGTTTTATCTTGGTTGTTAGAAGGAGATAAATGGAGACTGGACTTATCTAAATGCCCAGTTAAACTGATGTGATCCTTTTATTGTGAATTCCGGGTGAAAAGAACTTATTCTGGTTTATTGATGAAACCATGGTGCATTTATGCTGCATGTCTTGATGAAGGCTGCTTGTTTATTTTCTTTTTTATCAATTCCAAATAAAGGCATTAAACTATACATTTGTTTACCAACTGCTCTAAATTTTTTTTACCTTTTGTTCTTTTATAAGATTTTTGCCATCATCTTGAGGTGTTCCTTGCTTTGTCCCTGTTAAAATTGTGTTAAAGTTATTTTCTCTCTGTGCTTATCTGTATTTATACGCATGTATACATGTGTGTTGTTTGTCAAGGTCTGTTGATGCTACCACATGTTCTGCTTGTTGGTTTTCAGAGTATTTTCAAGGCAGGAATACTTGAAGAAAAGGGAGCAAAAGAAGCTTGAAGAACTCAGGTATGCTCGCAATTTAGTGCTCACATGTCTTTAGTTTTTCTTGATAACCTTTTCCTTTATTTTTGTCTTGATTATGGTTTTCCACCCTAATAAATTTTTGAGTTTCCCAGGGACGAAATTGAAGATGAGCAATACTTATTTGACGGCGTAAAACTTACAGATGCAGAATACCGTGAGCACAGGTACTTTATTGGGTTCTGTTTTGTTTTTCCAAATTGGGTTCTACACTAGGTTTTCTTTCGTAAGTTGGAAAGCAATAATTTTTGGGGCTGTCACCGTGAATGAGAGGAGACTATGTATACCTTTCCGTAGGATTCTTATATTTACATCTTTTTTATTTCAATTTTTCTCCCAGCAAATTTTTGTATCCTTCAGTTGGTAAATTTCTATATTACGGATAGCCATAAAGAGTTTAAGGATTGTGCTTACTTTATGGCTTCGAGGAAATCGTAGAGTTGGAGTTGCTATATTCTTTTGTATTTATTGTTTTCGTTTGTCCTCCAGGATAATTTCTTTGTACTCTGTAATAATCATCACTACCTGGTCTTCCACATAGTTTTGTAATGTTTGAATTTGTTTATTATCTCATAATCTGGCTTTTCTAGTAGATATAATCATATTGATAAGAATTTCCTATTGTTGGTCGCCCATAAAGTCTTTAGTATGATCCTTGTCATTATGGTATTCAGTTTCATTCTGGCATTCAGTCTTTCGTTTGCCAGCCTTACGCCCATAATGTCTTTACTACTGGTAATAAACCATATATACATGTATACTGAAGGTCTCTCTTTTGGCAGATACAAGAAAGAAATCTACGAACTGGTTAAGAAGCGGACTCAAGAGAGTGATGATGTTGAGGAGGTATACATTGTACCTTTTACTTTTTTACTTTTTGAGGTGTAATCAGTCATTGCATTGTGCATGCTCTTGTTATTCTATTTTATGTGTTTGTTAGCCAAAGAAACTGTGGAAAGCTGTCATTTGAAAATGCTGCTCATTCTATAAGAATTCAGGCACGTTCACAATGTGGAGTCCAATTATTTCTGCTTTTCTTACTGTACAACAAATGATTGGCAAGCTTGTTTGTGCTTGTCTGGTAGCATAGTAAAGCATACTTTAATGTGTTATTTATTAAGAATTGTGCAAATGTGCTGCTCTCAATATTGTGCCCAAGGAATATTATTCTCATCTATTATCTACTCTAAACTTCATTTTAGCATGTACTGGGTAAGAATGTTGTATAATATAAGGAAAAAATTGGGAAAAGTAAAATATTATGTCTTCAGTTTCTTGTCTTTGTTTATCATCCCCCCCCTGTTTGGTGTGGTTACAGTATAGGATGCCTGAAGCCTATGATCAGGAGGGTGGCGTGAATCAAGATAAGAGATTTGCTGCTGCTTTGAAGCGTTACAAGTATGTTATTCACAAATCAGTGTGGTACTTCTTTACTTAACGTATAACTACTTCGAATAGCAAATCTAATACTTTCTTTGGCAGGGATACAAATGCTTCAGACAAAATGAATCCATTTGCTGAACAAGAAGCATGGGAAGACCATCAGATTGGTATCTTTTGGTTATAGTTTCCTCTTGTGCTTAGCTATAGTGGTTATCAAATCATTCAGAGTGCTAAATCCAGGCTCGTAATGTTGCAGGAAAAGCAACTCTGAAATTTGGGTCAAAAAACAAAAAGCAAAACTCTGATGATTATCAGTTAGTATTTTCTAGTTTTTTCTTGTTACATTAAGAAGGTTCCAATTGTCCCTTGTTTCTTTTCTTTCTGCCTTGTACAATATAGAGGTTCAGTTTAAATTGTTGTTTGTGAAGATATTTGACTTGGCATAATGCATCTTTATTTGACTGTAAAATATGTTTAAACTGTACTTGCAACTTTCCATTGTAGGTATGTATTTGAAGACCAAATTGACTTCATAAAGGCATCAGTGATGGATGGCACAAATGTTTGTACTTTCTCTGCTAAAAATAAATTTATTTTCTTTTGGCTTACAAACTTCAGTTGTAAGATTGTTACACTTCTTTTTTTCAGATTGAAGAAGAATCATCTGTTGAAGAAATTGAAAAATCAATGGCTAAAACTGCATTTGAAAAACTCCAGGTTTGCACGTGGAGAACCCCTCTGATAGTAATCTAGTTCCTCATTCTGCCATGTTACATGTACTGGTTATTGGCTGATAGGTTAGATGCATTTGGTATTCAGAAAAAGTAATCAGTTATTAGCAATGCACATACCCTTGATATATATCAAAGAAAAAAGGAAAGGAAATATTTATAAAGGATGCTTTTTCATAATTCTCATAATACAGCGATCCTTCAAAAACAGAAATTGAATGAGTTAAGAGATTTCAAATTGCACTTGTTGTACAATAAAACTGTTTTATGGCTATATTGTGTAATTTGTTGTACTCTAAATTCTTTTCATGTGTGTGTGCTTTGCTAGGATGACAGGAAAAGTTTACCTGTGTTTCCATATAGGGAAGAACTTCTGAGAGCTGTTGAAAATCATCAGGTTAGTTTCCAGCCTTCGTGGTTCTACTAACTAGTTATCAGTTATAATGTCATGGAGTTGTGTGTGATCATTTTGAATGTTCTTTGCTTTAGGTCATTGTTATTGTTGGAGAGACAGGTTCTGGAAAGACTACTCAAATTCCTCAATATCTCCATGAAGCAGGTTACACGAAGCGTGGGAAGGTTATTTTCTTTCCTTCCTTTTTAATTTTTGAGGTCCTGAATTTGAATAGTCCAGTCTTCTCTTCACTCTTCAGATTTCGGTTTCTATTTCAACTTTTCCTAGCTACTTTACTGATTGACATTCATTTGTAAAGCTATATGTAGCTATTTTTGAAGTGTAACAATTGAAGTGTATGTTTTTTAAGAATCTATTGGTTGTTCCTCGTTGGTTATGTTCACATCCATTGACAATGTTATGTGCCATATATGATAGATCCCTAAAAACTGACCCAATTGTAGATTCTATCCAAAAATAATTTCATTGGCAAGCATCTTCTATGATAACCGTCAGAGCCAAATGTTTAAGTAAGAATGTGATGGAGATTAGATGCAACCATTCCTGGAGTTTTCAGTATATGGACTCCCTGTATGTTTTATTGTGTAGTTGGGTTTTTTACTGTTCATGTTAATTTTATTTGAACATTCTATGCTTACTATTTACAGATCACGTCTTCCCCTTGATAGTATTATTCATTCGTTGAAATCTTTTAGCCTTGACACGATACAATTCATTTGCTTATGAAAAAATGATGATCAGATTGGGTGTACCCAACCTCGAAGAGTTGCTGCCATGAGTGTTGCTTCTCGAGTGGCTCAGGAGATGGGAGTCAAACTTGGACATGAGGTACTCTCTCTCACAGAGAACATAGAACTCCATTCATTTTTCAATCAGCTGGGCATGGTTTTCCTTCCATAAATATTTTGTTGTTTGGTATTTCATAAACAATTTTGGTGATGCGTGGGGATGCACGATTCCACTGTGTTTTTCTGCTTCCGGGTATGTTAGATTTGACTGACATTATGCGCCCTCAGGTTGGGTATTCAATTCGTTTTGAAGATTGCACCTCAGAAAAGACAGTATTGAAATATATGACTGATGGAATGTTACTGCGCGAATTCCTCAGTGAGCCTGATCTCGCTGGTTACAGGTACGTTGTGCACTGGTTGATCATATGTTTATCTGTTTTTTCTTCTAAGAATAAGAGGCACTGGTTTATGCTTAAGTATCTTACCTGATCGATTTTACAATTTTCAGTGTGGTAATGGTGGACGAGGCCCATGAGAGGACATTGTCTACAGATATTCTGTTTGGGTTGGTTAAGGCAAGCAACAACCTTTTAAATCTCTACCTTAATATGTTTTTTTGAAGATTGGATGATGTGTTGTCTTATTATGGATCATGACTCGTAGCTTTTTGGCTGCTTAATGATTATGATGGATTTTATCCCATCTTCTACTTTCTTTTGTCTTCTCATGTTGCTTATTTTCTTCTAATTTCTCTTGTTTCCTGTAACCATATGTCCTTGTTCACTTTCTGTTTTTATAGGATATAGCTCGATTTCGCCCTGATCTCAAGTTATTAATTTCAAGTGCAACCCTCGATGCTGAGAAATTTAGTGACTATTTTGATTCTGCCCCGATCTTTAAGATTCCGGGAAGGCGATATCCTGTTGAGATACATTACACTAAAGCTCCAGAGGCTGATTACTTGGATGCAGCAATTGTTACTGCCCTTCAGATTCACGTAACTCAGCAACCTGGAGATGGTGACATATTAGTTTTTTTTACTGGACAGGAGGAAATTGAGACAGCTGAGGAGATTTTGAAGCATAGAACAAGAGGCTTGGGCACAAAGATAGCAGAGCTGATAATCTGTCCCATCTACGCTAACTTGCCAACAGAGTTGCAGTCCAAGATATTTGAACCGACTCCTGAAGGAGCACGAAAGGTGGTCCTGGCTACTAACATTGCAGAAACTTCACTGACAATTGATGGCATTAAGTATGTTATTGATCCTGGATTTTGTAAAATGAAGTCTTACAATCCTCGGACAGGAATGGAGTCATTACTGGTCACCCCCATCTCTAAAGCATCTGCAAATCAAAGGGCCGGTCGATCGGGACGCACGGGCCCTGGGAAGTGCTTTAGGTTGTATACAGCACACAATTACTACAATGATTTGGATGATAATACTGTTCCAGAAATACAGAGAACAAATTTAGCGAATGTTGTACTGACACTCAAGAGCCTTGGTATTCATGACTTGTTAAACTTTGACTTCATGGATCCACCACCATCTGAAGCTTTATTAAAAGCGCTGGAACTGCTGTATGCACTAGGTGCACTTAACAAGCTTGGTGAGTTGACTAAGGTTGGTAGAAGAATGGCTGAGTTTCCTCTTGATCCCATGCTGTCGAAGATGATTGTTGCATCTGAAAAATATAAATGCTCAGATGAGATTATTTCTGTTGCTGCGATGTTATCCATTGGGAATTCAATTTTCTATCGTCCTAAGGATAAACAAGTGCATGCAGATAATGCTCGAAAGAATTTTCACACGGGGAATGTAGGAGACCACATTGCACTATTGAAGGTTAGTTGCCTCAAAATATCAAATGTTGGTGCAATAGTATTGCTTTCTTTCGAGTGCTTATAATCATTTGAGGAGCAAATTAAGAAAAAAAAAGGAAGAAAAAGAAAAGCTAAATACGTTTACATGACCCTAAATGTGTTTTATTAACTGTATGGCATGGCTTTGTGCGATGGATTTGCTAAAAACTTTATCATTTCCCCATCTTTTCAGGTGTACAATTCCTGGAAGGAAACCAACTTTTCTACTCAGTGGTGCTATGAGAATTACATCCAAGTAAGTTTGGAAAATAAATTAGCACTTGCTTTTATATGAAGGTCGTACATATAATTTTGGGGCTAATGATTAATAGTCAAGATTAACATGAAGAGAAATTTGCTGGACATGATGCTATTCATGCTCTCCACAATGTTCTTAAAACAATTTGACAATGCGATTCTGTATATCAAAGGTGTTATGATCCTATTTTGTCCGGGAACATGGGGAAATGCCAGTTGGATCTTCATTTGGATGTGGTAACATGGCTGAAACGAAGAAGCTAGCTGCAATTTTTCTTCCCTGTTTGCTTTTGTCTTCTGTTGTGTGCATTATTATTTCAAGTTTTAGTGCATTAAGTGCAATCAATGACGCTTTGGAAAGAGAGAGCTTTATCTTTTATAATTTGTTCGGATTTCTCATTTGCCTCGTACTAAGTCTTGTACCAATCATATTTGTGATCTGTTATGTAATCCAGGTCAGAAGCATGAAACGGGCCAGAGATATCAGAGATCAATTGGAGGGGCTGTTGGAACGGGTTGAGATTGAAGTTACATCAAATGAGAATGACTTGGAAGCTATAAAGAAGGCTATAACATCTGGTTTTTTCCCCCACTCAGCCAGGTTGCAAAAAAATGGATCATATCGAACTGTGAAATTCCCCCAAACTGTTTATATTCATCCGAGCTCAGGTTTAGCTGAGGTAACGTTTGAGGCATTCTCGCTTTGCTCATTATCAGTTTTTTCTAATTTTAATTCGGGGATAAGGTTCCTTTTTACCTTTTGGTTAAGTGGAAATTTACCTGATTGTGTTTGTTAGGCACTTCCAAGATGGGCTGTTTACCATGAACTGGTATTGACTACCAAGGAATACATGCGGCAGGTTGGTTTCCATTTTTCCTCTTTTTGTTACCTTAATATCCTTGACAATTATGGTTTGACTTATACATGATAATTCATCATAGGTGACTGAGCTAAAACCTGAATGGCTGGTCGAGATAGCACCCCACTACTATCAGTTAAAAGATGTTGAAGATCGTAAGTATCTATTCTCTCTTTCAACATAAACTTTTAGATGTATATATTAATACGCAAATGCTTATAGCCGACCCCACTGGAAAAAAGGCTTGTTGTTGTTGTTTTGGTTGTTGTTATATTAATACGTAAATGCACAAACCATGAAGGCATGTATGTTGGGGATACATGCCAGAGTTTGTTCGAACTTGGATTATCTCTACGAAATGTATCTTATTTGATGTGTGAATTACTCTCTCTTCTCCACTTGAATTTTTTTGTATGCTGAATGCTTACCATATTTATAAAGAACATCTGAAACTCTGTCTGTCCCTCTGATGTTTTGCGAAAAACTGTATCGTCAAAGAAAACCTATTGTTTTGCCAAACTGTACTCATCTTAAATCTGTTTTTTCTTGGGAATGAGGTGCTTCTAATGAGCTGCTCCTGTTACAAACACAAGTTCTGGAAAGATCATAGCTTGACTGCTCTAAATAAAGCTAAAGAATAATAAGCATGTGAAATTCTGAAACTTGAGTTTCTAATACATATGTGAAAATTTTTGGAACCGTTTGTTTGTATGAAGTTTTGTTCTGGAAGGGTTAAATTGATCGAGGCATATTTTTTTCCTCATAATCTGTGAAAATGTAGTGATATATGTGTATCAATGTCTGACGAGAAATTCATATTTTTTCTTCCAGCGGGAGCGAAGAAGATGCCTCGAGGAGAAGGCCGTGCATCTTCAAATTTCTAACATCCCCCATAATGGAATTAGTGAGAATTGCTTGTCTTACCAGCTGACTTTGCCAAATGACCACTGCAAATAGATTCTCAAGGCTGTATATAGTAATTTTGTAGCATAGATCTGCTATTGGATCATGGATTCTCATCTCAGGATTATATTCAACTGAGTTTGACTTTTGATCTTTACATCCTGGGTTAATAGATTTGATACACAATAGAAAAGATGTTCAACTTTGATAGGAATATCAGTCGCTTCTTTTGTTTTCTTCACCACAAAACATTATGGAGCTGTTCTTTTTGTTTGCTCTTTCGACGATGTTGAAGATTTGAGGCAGACTTGTAAGAGACTGGGATGTGTTTTGACTCGGTTGAAACAAAAGATTGGTGTAGTTGTACTCCCTCTGTCCCAAAATTATTGCCCATTTTGATATTTCATTTTTAATACAAATTATATTAAAAATGAGAATCCAAACTGGATGATAATTATGGGACGGAGGGAGTATTTTCTGTTGTTCTTCAAAGGGACATTGAGTTTGTTGCTTTTCAGTCAGTCAGTCTTATTCTATTTTATCAGTTCTGAAACAGGTTCTGTTCTTTTTTTTTTTTTTTCTGTTTGTTTTTTGAGGTGTATTTTATTTCCATCATGTTGCAAGTTTAAAAAGGTGTATTGAGACACTACTAAACAGAGAGTCATACATTATTGATCGAAGAAATCAATCATTTATTATTATAATATGAGTGCATATAACAATTGATAATCTAAACAAAATGATAAACAAGTAAAAAACAAAGATAATCTAAAGCCAAACTAGTTGGCAACAATAGTTTTGGAATTCATGGGGAAGAACCAAAAAAAAATAAAATTCAAAAAATCTGGGTCTTCTTTCAGGATCTTCAAACCCTAGCAGCACCTTATCTGTTGGGAAGAAAAACATGCTTATGCCACAGCAGGCATATCCTTGAGCCATGCATCCAATGGTTTACCAATGGAGTAGACAATGAATCCGATTTCTCTTAGCTTGGCCACATCGACGACATTCCTACCATCAAACACAAATGCAGGCTTCTGCATGTTATCATAAATCCTCTTGTAGTCGAGCGATTTGAATTCATCCCATTCGGTAAGAATGCAGAGTCCATGAGCATCCTTTGCTGCCTCATAAGCATCCCAAACCACACTGACTTGTTTCACTGCAGAAGGGCTCATTGGTTGGAGGTGGATCGGATGATCCCAATCAAACTTGTTCATGGACAGATCCCTCTGAATCTGATCCTCACTGACCTGTGGATCATAGATGCTCAGGCGAGCCTTATCTGTAATCAAGCCCTTGCAGACATCAATTGCAGGAGTCTCCCTTGTGTCACCTGTATCTTTCTTGAAAGCAAATCCAAAGATGGCAATCTTCTTCCCAGCAACTGTGTTAAACATAGAGGACACAACCCTGTTGACGAATCTGCTCTTTTGGTAGTCGTTTACTTTGATCACTTGTTTCCAGTAGCTAGCAACTTCTGACAGGCCATTGCATTCACATATGTAAACCAAGTTCAGAATATCCTTCTGGAAACAAGAACCTCCAAAACCAACACTGGCATTCAGAAATTTAGGGCCAATTCTGGTGTCCTTGCCAACAGCATGGGAAACCTCTGACACATCTGCCCCTGTTGCTTCACAGAGGGCTGACATGGCATTAACTGATGAGATCCTTTGGGCCAAGAAAGCATTGGCCGCGAGCTTTGAGAGCTCAGCTGACCAGAGATTGGTACAAATGATCCTCTCTTCGGGTACCCAATGAGCGTAAACTGCTTTCAGTGCCTGAATTGCCTTCTGACCCTCGGGTGTTTCTCGGCCTCCAATGAGAACACGATCAGGCTTGAAAAGATCCTCAATTGCAGTGCCCTCAGCAAGGAATTCTGGATTTGATAGGATCTGATAGTTGATACCCTTGCTATTGTGAGTAAGAATTTTCTCAATCGCTTCGGCTGTTTTCACAGGAACCGTGGACTTCTCAACTACAATCTTATCAGATTTCGATACATCAGCAATCATTCGAGCTGCGCTTTCCCAATAGGTAAGATCTGCAGCTTTTCCAGCCCCAAGGCCCCTGGTTTTTGTTGGGGTGTTAACAGAAACAAAGATGATGTCTGCTTCTGAGACATGCTTTTCAACATCAGTACTGAAGAAGAGATTCTTTCCTCTGCACTGCTTCACCACTTCATCAAGGCCTGGCTCGTATATCGGCAACTGATCACTGTTCCAGGCTGTGATTCTAGCCACAGAGATATCAACAACAGCCACCTCAATTTTGGGGCACTTCAGGGCAATGACTGCCATGGTAGGACCTCCAACATATCCGGCTCCAATACAGCAGATCTTCACCATTTTTTCCTGTTCCAAAGGTAAACGAAGGAGCAGAACATTCAGATCAACTATTTTGACAGTACAAAGAAAAGGTAACAAGATAGAAGACTATCAGATGACACAGTTCAGTGGCAGAGAAAGCTACGTTCTTATTGAAAAACCAAAAGCCAACATCCAAAAGTATAGTGTTACTGGGTCACACAGCAGCCAAAGATAGTAGATGACAAATGCTGCAAAGCATATCCTACTCAAAAATCCTAAAATGTTATGAATCAATACAAATTTATTTGCCAAAGCAGAGAAGGTATGAAACAAGAACATCAACCCTATGAAGAGACAAAGGATAGTTGAATTTTTGAGAATGTCTATACAATGTCATAACAAATAACGCTAATTATCAGCTTAATTGTACATACTTTTGCCTGAACAAGAAGAAGAGAAAGATGCAAAGAAACTAGCTAATGTTAGACAGTTTATGAAAGAGGAGGAAGGGAATGCTAATTCAGGCAGTTCTCAATGCATGGAAGAGAATGTAGAAAATACAGAAGCAAGCCAAGTCACCTTCAAAATAATTTCCAAAAATCAAGTCAAAGTAAGAGTAATCTGTGAACAAAAGAGGGAAGCTATTGTTTCTATGAAGGGCCAAATGAGCAGATCTATTTATATACTGGATGAATACATTCTTGGATCTATTAGGACCTCTCTCACAAATTAAGCAAAGTGACAATACTCAGAATTAAAAATGAATTGGAACATTCAACATGTTTTTCAAGGTACCTTTCAGTAACAAACAAGGGAAAACCAGTTGCTTTCTACAAAATCTTTAACCCTTTTTTCTTTTTTAATTACTGTTATTCCATTCATTACCTTATAATTAAATGATTAAAAGTGATAAGAAATGCTAAAGGAAGACCATCAAGGCATCATCAATTAAAGATTTGAACTGAAATGAAGGTGAAAGTTCCCATGATTTTTAATGGCCAGTAGTTTATACCTTTTTACAAATTATAAGCAACCCTTCTCAAAAGATTAAATTTTGATGAAAATCCATGCCACAGAAGAGGTTAAAGAGGTTGAAAAAAAGTGAACCATCTTTTCATTTCCACCAAGAAGACATGCAAAGAAGCAATCATATGTCAAACATCACATGAAACAGAACTGCACTTTTTGATGAAAAGAAAGGAGGACTAGTAACATGAAAATTTTACATTTCTTTTTACAGTCAAGACGGAAAAGAAAGCTTAAGACTCCAGAAAACAACGTGACAGGTTGGTTCAGAAAAGGCACACTTGAGTAAGATCAAAGACAAAGCAAAAGATTAATCATCATGATGACAAAAAAAATTCAGAAGGGTTTCTAATAACCTTACATTTGAAAACATTATTTACAGCAAATTAACACTTGTTTTGAAGGCAACATGGTTGGAAGATCAACGTGTTAGTACCTGATGAAACGGCCTTAATCCAGCAATCAATCAGAATGGGGTAGTCAAGAAGAGTAAAAATTACACTTCTCAGAAGTTGATGAGAGCAAATTTAAAATAATTATAAAAAAAAAACTGAAGAATTTGTTTTTGAGGAAACTTTGCTTGTACATACACTAAAAGAAAAGGACTATGGGCTTACTTTTATATTACAAAATCCATATTTTACATGTGAGCTATGGCTTCATATCTGCTCAAACCTAGCAACAAAATTAAGTAGATTTTTTTAAAAAAATAAAATTCTTCCCCCCATCCACCCCCCCTTCTTTCAGGACAGTTATTAATCACAAATTTATTAGGAAAAATAAGTTATTTATGGTTAAGAATGGACATTAATTGGTGAGGATTTAATTCAATAATTAAACCATAAGTTACTTAAAAAAATTTTAGACCTTGTTTATATTTAGTTACCATGTTATACCGTATTTCCTTCACATATGGGGAAAAAATGTGCAGATAAAATTGCTGACATAAGTAAAAAATAAAAATAAAAATAAAAATGTAGCAGATCTTCTATTTCATTTTTTTCCCGTATATATCCTTTGTAAGACTTCAAATGCCGAATTAGTCCGACAAGTACAGTTTTACTTATTCTTTGAGAAGAATAATTACACATTGAAAAATGTAAACTAAAAAACTCAGGCTGGGTGTAAATGCTCCTTCGAGTTGAATTATTGCAATTTTGCTCCAAATGGCATGATGAACAACTTTTCATTTGAATCACCTTCAAAAATCTACTATTGCACTGAAAAGACGAGAAGAATATCTGGGCAAAAATTTGGGAAACAAAAAAAACTAATAACAGCACAAATTACTGATTGGAGAAAAATAACTCATCTTTTGCCCTTTTCATGTGGGAAAATATTCAGCTATCCATTATTTAATCTGTGTTATGGAGTTTTCTTTCCTTTACTATAACTTGTGGTCTATGTTGTTTGCTATAATAAGGCAAACTCTTTTGGATTAATTTCTATATATAATATACACAGGTGATCTCATCTGTAAGTTTTTCCAAATGTCAATTAAAACCATGACCATATATATTGACATCTTACAAGCACAGTCTAACTATCACACAAGTTTAAATTAAAACAAATTGAGGCGATCGATGGCACGGGATCTTTTGTGTCACTTTTCTAGTACACTCTTTGTTACATATTTTAATAAATTTGCGTAATTTTGTTGTTTGTAAAAATACTTACACTGTTCATTATAATTTCGAAATTATTTATTTTAACCAAGGTTTTAATTTTTCGGATTACGGTCTTTTTTTTAAAAAAATTTATGGTTAAAAGATTCAATAAAAATGGTCAAATTTCAATTTTTTTCCCTGAAAATCCATCCCAGTGGACCCCACTTAAATGTGAGTAGAACCTTCTTACAACCTCTGGTGGGATTCAAACCCTGGTCTATTAGCAAGAAGGAAAGCAACATAACCATTACACTGTCATTCAATTTCTAATCAAATTTCATTAATAATATAACATTGAAAAAAAATGGTAATATGAAAATTAGCTATAATGAAAGTATGTGTCTATGGTACATTTACTAACACAAAATATGATTTATAAGAAATAGTTGAATTGTATATTAAAAAAGTAATAAGAGAGTGTCACGGAAGATTCAGTGGAACGATTAATTAAGTCTTATTCGCCTACTTTATAAGTCGAGAGTCTGATTAATTTTCTATGTACAATCCTCTTTCTCGAACGTAATAGTGGAAGATGTTCTAGAAAACTTCAAATTAAAGGTTTGGAAAATATAATACCCAAATCTTTCACATAATTACATGAGATTGATAGCAAAAGAAATAATATAAACCATTTTTGAATTTCCTCTAATTTGAAGCAAAGATGGAACTTTGAGAGTAATAATTTGTTTCAAAAGCATGATTTGATGTCTTAGTTACTCAAAGAGCTTGGTTGTTAAGGGTGTTGATGAGTTGTACTTTGCATACTTGGGAGAAGAGAACTTTATATATGTAAACATGTGCAACATTCTATTATGACAGTTAGGTGACTGCATTGCACAAAAAAAAGTCAAGTATTGGAGTGATTCAGCAGTGTTCGGGTGGAAAACTGAAGCACCATTTTGGGAAATTTTTTTGGGTCAATTGACAATGGGAGAAAGGAAAATTAATTTGATGAAGGCATTAGCCACGCCTTTTGGAAACTTCCCCACCAATGAAATGATTTCAGGCAGCTTTTCTTAAACTGCAAGTTTGGACACTTTGGCACAAAGTATATTCTAGTTTATTCATCCCAAATATTCTCTCAGTACCAAAACGATAATTATTTGTGATAGATAGAAATTTTATATTCACGTCAATGCTGTACTTTTAGTCTTCTTTAATTTATGGGAGTTATTATTATTATTTTTTTTAACAAACTAATCAAACATCATAATCAGTTAGTTGTAAACAGTGGGATTAATCATACATTTGGACTCTACCAATTATTTTCTAAGGGCCGGAAACAATTATCTTGCTACTATATGATCATGATGACAACAATTAGCCCATTAATTCTTCTTCTTCTTCTTCTTCACCTTTTACCGGAACCTAAAATATAGTGTCAGACATAGACTAGTTAATTCTTATTTGAGTCAGGCAAAATTTTAAATTTAAGTTAATAATTCAGGAAGTAAAAAGAGCTCATTTCTCTAGCTAAGATTGTGTGATTCTTAACTTTGTTGGCATATAACAGGATACATCAATTACGTTGATGGTTGAAACAATGGGCAAGATGATTTAAGTGTAATTTTCCACAACGCTCAATTTTGTTCCATAAAATAAGGCAATTAATAGATTAACTGTGTTTTGTGAATGTTCAAGTATGATGCAAGGAAACAATAATGCCAAAAACTGCACATTGCACTCGCAAACTCCCCATCCCCCGCTTTCTTGTAAAGGAAGATAGTAAAATGACAAATGATAAGCATAGAAGCCAACGTTAAGCTTTTCTTTGACTAGAATGAACACATTGGAATTCACAACATACACTTAATTAATTAATTAAATTATGATCAAATTCATTCACCTCAACAAATCTTCTCCCTATTTAAAAGTATCAAAACATATTAAGCCATCTGAAACTAGGCCGGTTTCTAGCTATGATATGAAAATGCAAAGATGATCCATGATCATCAACCTCATAAACTAAGTCCCATCTTCAACAACTACAACAACAATGGAAGAAGCAGCCTTTATGATTCATTCGAGCTCAAGGCTGTACTAAAACAGCTTAACCGCGCCGTTCAACATCAGCACTCTCTTTCTCCAACTTCCTACGTCTTGAATTCGCCTTATTATCGCCGGCGATTGACCTACATTCATCACGAAAACACAAAGGCCGCGAAAAAAATTACGTTAGGGCGCCCCGGCCGGGATGATCATAGGCCGCGCCACCAGCCGGAAGAGAGGAAAAATGCCGTCATCGCACCGGCCGGAAAAGTCATCAGAGGGCTATCACAACTTTGGAAGAAGATGAAATATGTTTGTTTCAACAAAGGACACGGATGAAAAATTCTAGTGATAAAATCAAAAGCCTTCCATTTGTGTAATTATGGACTTTGTGACTTGTGAGATCGAGACGATTGATCAAATAATAAATGAAACATGTAAATTTTGTAACGCACCCACACATTTAAGGGGAAAATATATATATATATATATATATATATATATGTGTGTGTGTGTGTGTGTAGAAAGTCATCCTGTTTTTTGGCCGGATGAGATTGATAGAAATTTAGAAGTTTAATATTAAAAATCGAACTCAAAAGGAGTTTGGAGAGAAGCTCGTGTACATAGATCAGATTAAGCTGATAAACGAAATCGTCCATTTATTTTTTATATGTTAATGGAAATCCTCTAATGTATATATGTTGGGCCCGGTTCCCCTCCAATTGGGCCAACGAGAAAGGAAATAAAACCAAGCCAAGTTAGTTTTGGTTTTTGACAGGGAGAACAAAACTCTCTATAGTTGAGTTTTGATTTTTGGTTCTTTTTTACTTTATATAAAGCAAGGTAACTGCACAAACTGGTGCAAGAGTTTGGCCGTGAGTTCAACCAAAGAAAAGCAGCAGCCGCACATTGGTTTTGT